ATTAAATTCAAATTTAATTTTTATTAATTTCAATTATTTTAAATTATACATACACACACACACACACACACACACACACACACACACACACACACACACACACACACACACACACACACACACACACACACACACACACACACACACACACACACACACACACACACACACACACACACACACACACACATAAAATGTAAATATAAATAAAATTTTTAATTTTATACGAAGTAGATAAATTAATATTACTGATTAAAACAGTCAATATTACTAATTCTTTCAGTGAAATATTATTGATTACACACTGAGAAAAATCGTTTGATTGTAGCAACAAGACGTATATGATTGAAGGCATTTTGGTTAAATCAAACAAGAATTTCTAGTTATCATGATAAGACTCGATTTTTTATAACTAGAACGTTTAATAGATCTTACTAGGATCTTATAAGGATTTGGTTAGTATTTTCTGGTTGGATCTATAAAATTTCTTGTTACATTAATTTCTTTGCTTGCTTCTTAACTTAACTCGTATTCAATATTTGCCATGAAATGTATATAAAGAACTAGTATTAACATTAAATCCAAAGTATATTTTTTTTCTTATCAGCAGTAGTGCCAGAAAGAGGATGCTAGCCCTCAGATTGTGTTTGAGCTGCATCCTCTTCTTGCGTCACTATTTATCAATTTAATTTCTAACAAACTGAACTTAATTATTTAATTATTTAATTTCTAACAAACTGAACTTAATTAAAATAATTTATTCAATAATCTGGATTGAATTTATGCAATAATTGTGCTGGAATTCAGAATATTAAAGAGACTTTTGAGATTAGATGGGAAAAATTTTAGACTTGGTGCTGGTGAGTTTAGTATTATTAACCAGAAAATTTGGTAAATTTAACAAAAAGAAATTAATCAGATTCATCTGGTAATTCATACAAAAATTCTGGTTCATTCATTTTTCAACAGACATACTGATTGAATCTACCAGAATTCTAATTAATGCAACCAGATTTTTTTTCAGTACAGTGTTAATAACTTATAACTGCTGTATCAATGACTCTGTTTACTGTTTTCATTAATAATAATAATAATTCAGTGATAACTAATAAAGAAAGAAACATATTTTAAACGTATTTTAAACGTATTTTTTATCAGAAAACGTATTTTAAACGTATTTTGAACATATTTTTTATCAGAAAAAAACGTATTTCTTAATGTTCTTCAGGTGGACATTTTAACCAATTAGAAACGATATCAAGAGTCGATTACGAAACATTTCAAGGAAATATTTCAAAAACATTTTTGAAACGAATATGTGCTACCTGAGTATTGTGTGTTATATCATAAAAATGCAGTATATTATAAATAAATAAATAAATATATATATATATATATATATATATATATACACATATGTTTAATATATTTAATATTATAATATATTACATATTATATTTAATAAAAATAATGAATTCAAATCGCCTTGTTTTATTAGGAGAATGAATAGATCGATATTTTATTAATTATTAATTTTTTCGATGTGTCTTTATAATTGATTTTTTACAACAATTATATCATAGGTAAAATAACAATTTTCCTCTATTATGAAAGTCTCAATCTACCAGTCATTTCAGAGGACAAAGTATATAACTCGAGTTTATACTGTAATTAATTTATCAAGTTATTTAAGTCAGGAAGCGCTTTTCGTTCTACATAATTTGTCTTTATTACATTGAATTTATTTTAGGTTTTCACACGTAATTGGATGACGCACTTATTTAGAGTGTGTCGAAAAAATTTTTCCGACGTTTACTCTCGACTATAAATTTTCTCATCAATTTATGCGATATCGAGGCGAATATATTCGAGAATTGTGAGAGAATTCGTCAAAATTTCCGCCCATATTGTAGAAAAATCGAAATGAAATTCATCAAAACGCATTCATAGATGAAAGAAAGAGAATATAGGATAATTCTCTCTCTCTCTCTCTCTCTCTTTATAATATTGCATTCGAAGGATATCGCAGAATTATTTATCAAATTTTTCGTCATGAATTCTTCCAATGAATTTAGTGTTCCGTTCTCATTCAACAAAAAAATTTGATAACGTATATGAGCCGTTTATTTTGAAAGTTATTATATTTAAATTGAGATATTTATATTTATATTTAAATTGAGATATTTAAGAGTTTGTGCGTTTCAATAAAATTAAAAATAATAAAAAAAAATAATAAAAAATAATTGACAAATGGACTTAGGCCACTTTCAAAATAAACGGCTCATATGTGTGTGTAATAAAAAAAGCGAAACTCATCGAGAAATATGCATAATTGGAGTGATGACTCCGATTACTTTCTCGCGTTTCGTCTTTTATCAGCTTTACCGGTATAGTATATATTATAGCGTGAGCACAATTTCAAAGTTACAGCCAGTTCGTATTTTCGAGAATCACGACACGTTGTCATTCAACATTATTAATATCAAGAAATCATTGTACATCCCATTCACATAACGATTTCAATTACTCCGCCTGATTGCACGTTATTTGAAAGGAACAGTTTCATAACGGGGTTTAATTTCTCTAAACATCCAATATACTCATCGTTGCTTTTTATCCCATGAAGGATAAACACGTCTACTAAATTACGTTCGCGTCGCGAAAAATGTAGGCGGTGATCTCGCCAGCGGATAAACGAAAGCGCGTAAAACGGAAGTGGAAAACGCGCGCAGCAAAATTCCATCGTGACGCGTAGAGCGGAATTTTGTCCTCTCTTTACGGCAAAATTACACTGAATCTATCTAGCTATTGTCCCGATATAACGAAACTTTGATACGATGCGGTCTCCGTCGTAAACGGAAATAGTCGCATAAATTGTCGCTGCTGTCTCGAAAAACGCAATTTTCTCATTGAGAAAAGAAGAAGACTTTATTAGAAACTTCTGCTCGTGAAAAGGCTAATCGTCGATGATTGAAGAGTTGACGATCGACTTGAATAAGTCGCGAAACGTAATTGAATTTGCATGTCGCAACTAAAATTAATTCGAGTTGTTGCTTACGTGATAATAATATCATAGATAGTGTCATTTGTCGTGTTTTCGAAAGTTGAAGAAAACGCGAATATTTCGACTGATAAATATTTCACAAGCTGAGTTTCGTATCGTATGAATGCGAAGTTTACTGATCCTTAACAAGTAACGTAAACGGTGCATCATGTATGTAAAACCCATCAATATCGTACAAAGAGAAAGAGATAAAACATTTTATTTTATAAATATTTGAATAACACAAATTTGATTCTCACAAATGTGTGTTTTTTTTAATAGAAGTATACAACCGGATGTATTCTGCGTATCTATTCGTTTTATTTATTTGTAATTCCTTGTATGCTTCAATCCATTTGTACTCTGTCCTTTATGGAATTATTCAGTGGCACGCGAGATCATTCACCGGAAATCATTCAATTTTTATAATAAACAAAATATACAAGTCAAAGATACATGTTGTTGGATACATTTATACAGAGTGTTTCATAAGTGGTGGGCAAAATTTCAGGAATGGATTCCTCATACTTAGAGAAGAAAAAAAAAGTTAATTAACTTAGATCCGGAAATGATTAGTTTTTGAGTTATTAAGATTTTTGTAATACAAAATTTTGTCTCATTTCTCTTAGAAAGGCCGCCGAACTTAAAAAAACATTGTTGATGTATACACTGAGAAAAATCGTTTGATTGTACCAACAAGATGTATATGATTAAAGGCATTTTGGTTAAATCAAACAAGAATTTCTAATTATCATAATAAGATTCGATTTTTTATAACTAGAACGTTTAATAGATTTTACTAAAAGGGTTTAATTAATATTTTCTGGTTGGATCTATAAAATTTCTTGTTACATTAATTTCTTTGCTTGCTTCTTAACTTAAGTCATAATATTTGCCACGAAATGTATATAAAGAATTAATATTAACATTAAATCCAAAGTATATTTTTTTTCTCTTACGAACAGTAGTGCCAGAAAGAGGACGCTAGCTCTCTGATTATGTGTGTTTGAGCTGCATCCTCTTCTTGCATCACTGTTTATCAGTTTAATTTCTAATAAACTGAATTTAAAATAATTTATTCAATAATCTAGATTGAATTTATCCAATAATCATGTTAGAATTTAGAATATTAAACAGACTTTTGAGATTAGATGGAAAAAATTTTAGACGCCTTGGCGAGTTTAGTATTATTAACGAGAAAATTTGGTAAATTTAACAGGAAGAAATTAATCAGATTCATCTGATAAATAATTTCTACAAGAATTCTGGTTCGTTCATTTTCCAACAGACATACTGGTTGAATCTACCAGAATTCTAATTAATGCAACCAGATTTCTTTCTCAGTGTAGAGAAGAAAAAAACAGTTAATCAACATAGGTCCGGAAATGATTAGTTTTCCGGAAAAAACAGTTAATCAACATAGGTCCGGAAATGATGAGTTATTAAGATTTTTGTAATACAAAATTTTATCTCATTTCTCGTCAAGTTCGGCGGTCTGAAAAATATTGTTGATGCTTATAAAAGGACTTCTAAGATGGGAAATGAGACAAAATTTTGTATTAGAAAAATCTTAATAACTCGAAAACTAATCATTTCCGGACCTATGTTGATTAACTGTTCTTCTTTTTCTTCTCTAAGCATGAGGAATCCATTCCTGAAATTTCACCACTTGTGAAACACCCTGTATTTATTACTTGGATACATTTTCCACGAGAATATTTTAATCGAACAGATTTTCCTGTCAATGTCGCCTCGTCACCAGTCGCGATTAATTGAACTGTTTACAAGCTCAAAAGCGCAATTTAGGGGCAAGGCAAAGGATCAAAACGTCGATCAAAACATCGATAGCAATATCGAAGTGATTGGTGCACTTTTGCAATCAACGGGCGAACGCAACCGCCGTTGGAAGATAGACTCATCGCAGTGCGAAATATATGTGTAACATATAGCTACTCACGCCAGCGATCCCCTCAACCGCGCATCCTCCCGAAATGTTCTCTCCGGCGCCTCCACCTCCGTCTCTTCCTCCACCGTCGCCTCTGGTCGAACAGCAAGCCGGTGGCCGCGACGCACCACCCGAAATCCTTGGCGAAAAATCCGTCGCGCGGAATTTCGCTGGTCAAGTCACGAAGAGCGAGGTGGCGCGGGCTCGCGCATCTCGCCGGGACGGCGTTTCTTCTCTCTTCCTTGACGTTTGCTCGTGGACGACGCACGTCGCGAGCAGATCGGGCACTCTCGCTAATCACGAGGAATTACCGGTTCGACGCGGGAGAGGATATCTCGAAGCATAACGAGTTTTCGGCTCGCCCCGCCGGGTGGATAGGGATGAAGGACTGGAGAGAGAAGGAGAGAAAGATACGTTTGTTGCGTGGTGTGTGTGTGTGTGTGTGTGTTTCGAGAGAGTCGGCGAGGAGCGAGAACGCGGCGCGAGAAACGAGAGAGAAGAACTGATGATTCGATACTGTTTGACCGGGCGAAAATGGTTACGATTCGCGTGAGATGTCCGCGTCGCGGGGAGAGAGACATGGAAAGAATGAGTAAGGAAGAAGGGTGAACGCGCACGAGAAGAAACCTCCCTAAAGATACGAATGCGCTGCTCGAACGACAGCATCCGACTGAATTGACCGATGCGCTGAAGTTGACGCGGAGCGCGTGAAAACGCGGGACCTGCTAGTGGCGCCGCGCAGCGGCCGTTCTCGTAACTGTGAAACGTCACACGTGTCAATAACTTGTCCGCTGTATTTATGAAATATTTATGTTCAATTTTTTTGTTTTCGACGATTTGTAATTCACGAAATTTGCGACAAAATTCTATTTGTAACTTTACGTAATGTAATGTGGAAAATATTTTAAGAGGTTTACGATAAATCATAACTGTCTTCACTTTTGTTTTGAATTTCGTCACTTATTTTTCTTCAATTATAGATTAAAAATCTAAAGTTAGAGTTGGTAAGACTATCCATGTTAAGGGGATACCGGAGTCCTGTTTTACCGAAAATGTCATATTTCATTTTTGTCCGAAATCATTTTATTAAGGATGTTTTGTGTGTACAATCCCAGCAAAAAGTAGCTGAAAATCAATATTGATGAATGTATCCACTTTTGGTGTATTTCAAGTAAGAAATTGTGTGGAATATTACAATTGATCTTAGCTACAGTGTAGAGATGTATCTTTTAATATTTATTGCGTTTTTACTGAAATATTCTAAATTTTGTTAATCGAAATGATTAACTTTTGGCAGAGAATTTCGTCTTGTGACAGATACATGGTTAACTTCATTGAATTAGATTTAATATCTTTTTAACCAGTTAATACTTGTATAATATTATTTGACCAAATATTTCCTCTATATCTAAACTCTTGCAAATTTTCAACAAATTCTGAATACTATTTCCATGTGTTTTTGTCATTTGAATCGACGTGGTTATACGTTTCCCATAAGAACACATGTTAATTCGATGCAAATTAAAATCCTTATAACTTGTGAACGCTTTAGTGAATCTATTTAAAAATTGTACTAAAGATTCTAAACTAATATGTAACGACATTCTGTACAATTTTCATTAAATTCTCAATATTTTGAAAATAGGTACAAAACATCCTTAATTGCACAGAATAATAAATGCTCCTCCACGATTAAAATATAGAAACAAAGCGGGAATTCCTAATTTTGTGTTAAAAATTAACAAAAAATAAAAAAATTACAGTTTTTTATCGGCTTCCGGGGTCAAATCGTAACAATATTTGTTTTGTATACACAAAATAAGATAGGTTCCCGCTAGAGATTGTATGAAGGAATATAAATGAATTTTTAGAAATGAGTTTGAAAAATCGGTTTATTTACCGGAATCTTTTTCATTAAGCTTCTAAACTAACTCATTTCTAAAAATTCATTTATATCTCTTCATACAATCTCTAGCGGGAATCTATCTTATTTTGTGTATACAAACTGCAAAACTTTTATATTAAGCAAATATTGTTATGATCTTTTTACGATTTTTCAATTTTTTCAAATTATTAATATAAAATCAGAAGGATCCCGCTTTGTTTCTGTACTTTAATCGTAGAGGAGCATTTATTATTTTGTGCAATTAATAAAAAGATTTCAGACAAAAATAAATAATAACATTTTATCAGTAAAAGGACTCCGGCATCCTTTTAAGAAATTATAGATTGATATAATTATACAGAATATAAAAGTCAAAAGAAATTAAAAAATATCGAAATATTATCGATTGCGCATTTACCAGCCGTCGAATAAGAAGGTACCTTTTTTACCGATAATATATAATAATAATTACTCGTTTATCGACACTTGCAATATTTGCGCAAACAAAGCCACCTAAACATTTTCCAATGTTAAATCACCCTGCAAAAGAAAAGAGAGAAATTTTTGAGGGAAAATAAATCGCTACACATAAATAACAAAAATCAAGCTGAGCTAGAGCACTGGACTAAAGCAAAAAATCAAAGGCAAACTCCGATAGGTACATCCGTAATCAATACAAGACTGTAGAACTGTACTCATGCATGTCACGCTTATATAGGTTATTCATGCGGGTCGTGTCGAAAAACGAAACGAATTGAACGGGCAGGCCCCGAAGGAAGAAGAAAGAAGGAGAAAGCGAACAGAGTGTACAAGGTACAAGTGAACCACGTGACACCCACAGTGTATCGCTCTGCGCCTACACCAGGCGCGCCTGGCACGAGCCGCAATACGGCTCCGTCGACGTCTCGCCGACCTCTCGCCTTCGGCTGGCCGTCAGTAGGCCACGATCGTCGCTGGCCGGCGCAATGAACGTCGTCGTCGTGCTCGTAGGCCGGCAGCGCGACATCCGCGTCCTCGAGACGGCCCGCGGCTCCGAGCCGCGACTCCCGGTGCCGTCTCACGAGCAGCGAGATTGAGCTAACACGAGCGTTACATCGTGCGACGAATGCACGAGCACGAGGTGAGAGAAAGAGAGATAAAACAGAAAGAGAGAGAGAGAGAGAGAGAGAGAGAGAGAGAGAGAGAGAGAGAAGAATTCCATCTGCATTCGCGATCAAGAGCGAGAGAGAGAGAGTGAGATGAATCTCCTCTCGTTCGCGAAGTCGAGTAATGTCAATGTTTATCACCGCGTAATCGCTGTCAAACGGAACGAGAAGCGGAATTCGCGCGTCCGTCGACGATGCAGCCTTTTCCCTTTTTTTTTTTTCTCTCATCACGAACGGACGAATCATCCCCCGCTTCCCTCGCTTACGCTCGTCAGATCAGTGCTGTACGATTCCGCGAGATATTACTGTCTCCCATCGCGTTTCTAGAGGCAAACGCGATCGGGCGGGATGTGTTGACAGAAGAAAAGGAGTAGAAGGAACTCTTCTATCGCGAGAGATCCGCGCGAGCGGGATCGATTTTTCGACGAAGTCAAGGAGACCTGACCTGACGCTGCGCGCGTGTGATACGAGACGTTGAAAGAATTGGCGACGACACAAAGCGCGCGTCGTCCTTGTAAATACGTCGACGGAAACTTTGATTTGATGCGGGAGAACGCGTCTGATAATCGCCCGCGGCTGCGTTGGGATGCGAGATTTATTGTGCGTTATTATGCCGCGAGATGAGATAGCGCGCGCCTTGGATGAACGTGGAGGTTTCGCGATTGACGGAGCATGGCGAGGTTTCATTTAGCAGGGAATATTTCGCACAAGGTGAGACGAATCGCGTTTCTGTTACGTGTAATTAATTGCAATCGATCGTTTCGTCGCGCTCGTGTCTTATCGTGTCCCTCGCTCCCCCGCTATCGGCAAAGAAAAACCTTCTGTTCTTTTTATCGTTTCGTGATTTTATTTAATCAAATTCATTCGTCGTTTCTTATTATCTGCGGTTACGTGATTATCAGCGGAATTTTAATCAGACCACAGATTAAAGTTGTCGAAATTAAGGATGTTTTGTAGGTATTTTTAAAATATTGAGAATTTAATGAAAATTGTACAGAATGTCCTTACATATGTTTAAAATCTTCAGTACAATTTTTAAATCGATTCATTAAAGCGTTCACAAGTTATAAAGATTTTAATTTGTATCCAATTAACATGTGTTCTTATGGGAAACATATAACCACGTCGATTCAAGTGACAAAAACACATGGAAATAATATTTAGAATTTGTTTAAAAATTGCAAAAGTGTAGTTTAGATACAGAGGAAATATTTGGTCAAATAATATTATACAAGTACTAACTGGTTAAAAAGATATTAAATATAATTAAATAAAATTAGCCACGTATCTGACACAAGACGAAAATTCTCTGCCAAAAGTTCATCATTTCGATTAAGGATGTTTTGTAGCTATTTTCAAAATATTGAGAATTTAATGAAAATTGTACAGAATGTCCTTACATATATTTAGAATCTTCAGTACAATTTTTAAATCGATTCATTAAAGCGTTCACAAGTTATAAAGATTTTAATTTGTATCCAATTGACATGTGTTCTTATGGGAAACATATAACCACGTCGATTCAAGTGACAAAAACACATGGAAATAATATTTAGAATTTGTTTAAAAATTGCAAAAGTGTATTTTAGATACAGAGGAAATATTTGGTCAAATAATATTATACAAGTACTACTGGTTAAAAAGATATTAAATATAATTAAATATAAATATAATTAAATGAAATTAGCCACATATCTGACACAAGACGAAAATTCTCTGCCAAAAGTTCATCATTTCGATTAAGGATGTTTTGTAGCTATTTTCAAAATATTGAGAATTTAATGAAAATTGTACAGAATGTCCTTACATATATTTAGAATCTTACATATATTTAGAATCTACAATTTTTAAATCGATTCACTAAAGCGTTCACAAGTTATAAGGATTTTAATTTGCACTGAATTAACATGTGTTCTTATGGGAAACGTATAACCACGCCGATTCAAATGACAAACATACATGGATATAATATTCAGAATTTGTTTAAAATTTGCAAAAGTTTAGATACAGAGGAAATATTTGGTCAAATAATATTATAGAAGTACTAACTGGTTAAAAAGATATTAAATATAATTCAATTAAATTAGCCATGTATCTGTCACAAGGCGAAATTCTCTGCCAAAAGTTAATCATTTCGATTAACAAAATTCGGAATATTTCAGTAAAAACACAATAAATATTAAAAAATACATCTCTGCACTGTAGCTAAAATCAAGTTGTAATATTTCACACAATTTCTTACTCAAAATACACCAAAAGTGGATATATTCATCAAAATTTATTTGTAAGTACTTTTTGCTGGGATTGTACATACAAAACATCCTTAATTGTAGAGCATAATTGATTGTAACATACTTTAGTTACAGTACTTCTGGGACAATATATTTTTTAAGATTTTTTAAACATTATACGATCTTTTCGAATAAAAATGAAATAATGAATCGATATGTTTTCTGCTGTTATACAAAATAAAATTACAATAATAACTACATAAAAATGTATCATTCATATTAAAAAAATACAAAAAAAGCAGATTGCAATATTTCAAAAATGCATTGAATATGAATGTCAATAATATAGCTTCTTTCGACTAAATGCTTTTATAGTTTCAATTGTACTCTGGCATTATTTGATTTTCATTCTGTATAAACAATCTTTATCTTGTTCAAGTTCCTGCACTTTATAGGAATAAGGATGTCGAAGCGGTTGAGTTTTTACGGTCTGGTAGCCCTGGCGTCCATCTGCATCTTCTTCCTAGCATTTAATCAACGCTACAGCAGCTACCTCGAGCATCGACTGCAGCCGGTGATATCGGTCAGTAAAAATTCGGAGGTGGGGATTGCTCTAAATTGAGTCACGCCAAACACGCTCTTTCTGACGGTAAAGTCTAACTTTTGCACCTCTAATTCTTTTTTTATCAATCTCTTACACATTAACGATACTTGGCAAATCGAAAACTCTGCCTAAAAAATCGACGCACATTCTCCCCGTCTCTCATTCCTTTTCTTTCTTACGCACTGTTTCAGGACAATCGTTTACAAAATGTTATCAGAGACTACTATCAGTGGATAATATTTTGTGCTGTCAGATATTGACAAGAAAAAAAAAATAGAAAAATTTAAAATTAGTAATAGTAACTTGTTAGAATTTTCCAAAGGTTGTATCATCACTTGATCTTTACTTTGAGATATTTAATTCTGCGATGATGTAATGTATTTTCGTTTGATAATGTAAATTTTTTCTTGAGAAGTCTGATTACAGTGTCTGAGAAACAGGTGTAACATGATTATTTATCATGATCAGCATGCTTGCGCGTAGACTCTCACTTTTATAGCAATTCACACACTCTTAACTTATATAATAGTATAATAGTATCTCACATACGGTATATATATTATATATATATATATATATATATATATATATATATATATATATTCGGGTATCCCTATGATATACTTGCACTTGCATTCTCCAAGGACATTATAATACACTACTTAGATTAAGAAAGAGGGAGAAAAAAAGACAGTTATCCTAAGTCACATTAGTGATACATTCACGCTCACCACGCACAATCGAAACGCTAAAACGTCGATGCTTTCTTCTTCGATATAGGATGTTGAGATAAGGCCAAGGACCACGAAAATTCAAGAACCGGTAACGGTAAGCCAGGTATGCACGTGTGTATCGACTTGAGTAATGCAAACTCATTCTCATTTTTTGTTAGAACTTGTTTGTTAAGATGCTAATTATTCTTTGACTATCTTATCTTAATGTAATATTGACATAAGTCAAGTAAGGAAAGACGTAATTAACTTTAGGAACATCTATTTTTTTTTATTTGATTTTCATTTTTTTTTATATTGTATATGTTGCATTGTATTACTTTTGATAATTAATAATATATATAGATTTATACGATATGTATGTAAATTTTTACGAGCAACTAAAACTTATTAATTATTTATCTTTAACAAAATGTTAATTGTTATTAACAGCCAATGAAAATTAATGATCTCTTACTAATTAAATTTTGTTATTAATAATTATGCTAATAATATATAACAGAAACAGTTATATACATAAAACAGAATATAGATAACATGAAATAGAACGAACTCGATTATATCGATTAGATTAAAAGCAATTTAGTGAAATGTATTATTTATTATACCTATTAACATTATTGTTCATTCACGCATTCTCCATTTTTTAATAATGCTTGCAACTAAATTTTCGCTTTGCTTATTTAAGAAATGTGAAGTTATATAAATAAGTACTCTGTTATATAATAATTAAACAAATTCTGTTGTATATTAAACAAATTAACAGATTTACGAGATTTAAAGCTTTATTTTCGTTAAATTAAAGGAAGATAATTAAAATGTATCTGTGCTGTAGAAATCTGCTTTTATGCAATTTGAGTCTCAAAAATTCTAAACTTCTATTTATTTATTTACGATATGTTGCATATCTCTTCTCCCATTATATATTGAACTATGTTTTAACACTGCATTTATTTGCATCAATATCACTAATGATAACGCTCGCTATAATGATTGTTTATAGTAATCATTTCAATCTTTTAGGCGTATATTACGGGATACACGGAAAATGCTACAATTACCGAAATTCAGGAGGTGGTTGATCAACAAAGAAAGATGATTAAAAGGGAAATGGAAAATTATGAATATCCAAACGGAAAATATGGGGTAAATGTGAGGTGAGTTTTATACGCGTGACAGATTATTTTAGAAATCGCTTCGAAAATGTATCTAAAAAAAATCATTGCATTCTCTATTTATCGTAGCAAACTTGAAGATCTGGTGATGGAGAAAGATGGCAGACCTGTGAGAAGCATAATTCTGACGAGTTGGCGAAGCGGCAGCACATTTCTCGGCGACGTGGTGAATGCTCATCCGGCTAATTTTTATCATTACGAACCGTTATTGGATTATGGAATTGTGCAAATCAGAGAATCGCCGCTCGCCGATGAATCCTTGACGAGAATTATCTCTCTGCTGAATTGCGAATACAAAGAGCTCGGTAATCTTACATCCTTTGAATTTGCAATCATATCGTTTAATGATCAGTCATGTACAATCGTAATTATTATTACAGACCGATATCTAAATTATGGGAAAACTCATCCTTGGGTTTTTAATCACAATACGCACTTGTGGCGGCAGTGCCAGGCGCACAAACGTATCTGTTGGGATCCACGTTTTGTTGCCAAGTTTTGTCGGCTCTTTCCATTCCAATCGATGAAACTCGTGCGATTGAGATTGCGTGCAGCAGAGAAGCTTTTGGCTGAAGAAGAGTAAGAATATGAATAAGTTTTAAAACATGTAAAATGTTAGATTTGTTTGAAAGGTTTAGATTTCGCTCGAATATATATTATAGCACTTCATAAAATAAATTAAATATAATAAATAAATAAAAAACAATAAATAAAAAATATTCTAAAACATAACAAACATGTATTTATATTACAGTTTAGGTGTGCGATTAGTGCTACTTATCCGCGATCCGAGAGGCATTCTGCAATCTAGAAAGCATAGGGAATGGTGTCCCGCTAAACCCGATTGTTCCGATCCAGCTCTGGTTTGTGCCGATATGGTGTCGGATTTTAATGCGGCGGTAGAACTCTCGAAAAAGTATCCACGTTCTTTCAGGTATAATATACGCATTACTTTTCCAAGTTATATATGTTCAATATTTATAAAAATAATTTCAAAATTTATTTTCACGCGCAAAACAATCTTCAATTGACTTGAATCAATGACGATCTTCAATTGACTTGAATCATTGACGATCTTCAATTGACTTGAATCAACGCCAATTGACTTAATAAATATGGTACTCTCAATAAGTTGCGAAAGAAGAATTTTTAAATATTTAATTTTTAACTTTTAAATATTTAATTTAAATATTTAATGTTTAAATAATTAATTTTTTTAATGTGATAGAGTGGTACGCTACGAGGACCTTTCCGTGGATCCCTACAGACATGTGAAGGAACTTTACAATTTTTACGGTTTAAACTTTCATACGAACGTGAAGAAATTTCTGGATACGCACACAAAAAACGATGTGGGCGGCGTATCCAGCACCTTCCGGAATTCTAAAGTTGCGCCATTTCACTGGCGAGCCGATCTAGACTTCGAGGAGGTACACGAGATACAAAGGGTTTGCGCAACCGCCATGCGATTGTGGGGATACGTGATGGCCTTAAATTCTACTCACCAAAAAGACTTTGATCCTATCACAAATTATCGGCTGCAGTTGTGACAGCTGACAGACGACATGCTCAATGTAGATATGATGTACAGCGTATTGGTATAACGAATGGCAATGGTCAGATAAGAGAGTGCCGTAGTTCATATAAGTATTCAGCGAAAGGTGCTAATGATGTCACTCAGGAAGATAGTAACAAGAAGAATGAATGTCGATTTCAAGAAAGTTTGTCCGAGTCCTAAATCTCATGAAACCAATAAAGCTGTTCCTGCAAAAGGACCGATGAAATTGAGATACGCGTTTGTAGTTCTGAAATTATGGACAAAGATTAAAGGAAGTTTTTTTTAAGAGCCTGAAATGTGTGACAAAAATATATAATATCTAATCATATCGAACGCGAACGTTGCAGATGTATTCAAAATGTTTCTAAATATATTGCAAATCTTTCGAGAATATTTTATGTCTAATATATATAAATTACTTTGATATTAACTACTTGATATAATTGATATTATTAGTTTGAAAAGATAAATAATAATCGAACTTATAAGTTATATACATAAAACTTGATTTTCAATTTTATTTTTCAATCTTATTGAAATCACACATAGTAATACTCAATCGAATTGAAGAGATAATGCAGGAAACTTAAAGAATGTTTATCTAATAATAGAATGTATTGATTGCGGGAAGATCTTAATCATTTAATGAATACATTATGAACGGAAATTAAATCTCAATTGTAATCAAGTCTTACAACATTAGGAATCATCGGCAACGTTGCGCAAATCTATATATGCATGGCTAACTGAAGTAAAAATGTTATCGAGACGACATTTAATGTGATTCATATTAAAGAAAGGAGAAATACGATCGCGCGCAATATCAATTAATTCGTTTACGTCAATGAAATATTCGACGTTATCCTTTGCTCATGTGGCGGTCGCCGATAAAGCTGACTGTGCGGTGTATGTCAAGGACGAGAGTTTCCATTCCACCGGCCTTCAAGACCGGCGACAAATTATTAAAAATGTACAGACGCGATCAACTCGCCTGCGAGCGCGTGATTTTTATAATGTATGATACAGATTCGTATAACACTGCACACTTTATAGATAAAAGATAGAAATCTTGCGAACCGTTTCTTGGCGATTTAATATAAGAATACTTTTTTGAATCTTTACACACTAGTTATTGATTATCTCAGATAACCCAGACGGGTACACTTTAGTTATGTATATACATATATACATATATATATATATGTATGTATGTATGTATATATGTATATGTATTATAGTGCAATTACGTTACAAAAATATATATATAGTATTTCTCGCGTCCTTGTGTTATGCACCGAGCGCTGGATTATAATCTGCTCTCTGTGTGATCAAGTTTTATCATGCATTCACTTAAAGTAGAATTAGTTTACAAGTATTTTACGTTATTAGTAATTGTTATATCGATTAATCAAATTTGGATATTGAGAAACTAAAAATGAAATACTCTATTCATCTTCCCCTTTCTAATTTTATGGAAGGACGATCTGACTTTCTACATTCGGATTTTATTTATTATTTTTATTGTTGTCTTGCAACATGGAATATGGCTGAACAAACATTTCTCTTACATATGGATGAGATCTTGTAATAACGTTTCCATGATTGCTAATATAAACTTGTAATAACAACTTTGTGCGATCATGTGCGTCATTATGTTCTCATGGAATGGATATCTAGTCTAAAAGGAATGCATACTACTTCGCATTTTGTACTTTAGATGTAATATAAAGGTTTCAATAAAAAGATCTTATTTCTATGGAAATATTTTCTTTTGCTATTTATTACTTGTCCATAATCCATATTATTTATTGTACATCATTTCTTCTATTTCTTGTTTCTTATGTTCATCTAAAAAATAGAACAAAGCTTGTTGAGTAATGACACGCATGAATTGCAATTTAAATAGTTTATCTATTATGTTTCAGCAAAATATCTAGTTATCACTATACATCATAGCGTATATTACGAAAAACATCATTACAAAAAATAACAAACATTCAAAATATTTGTCACTAATGACTTTATATATACAGAAATACTTTATATTTACATCTACATCTTGCATATAATTATATTAATCATAAATATTAATAAAAAAATTTTAATTTGTATAATTTTAAAATATCACTAGAATTGTCAATTATTACCTTTATATTAGAAAGATTTCATTTGAATATTAAAGTAGTATTTGTTGAGTCTGTAACAAAGATAATCTTCTTGTTGTATCTGTAACAAAGATAATCTTTTTTAAATCACATATTTATATATATAAAAATTTTGATTATTTAATAGCAAAATCAGCGAGGGCAAGTTTTAAATCAGAAATAAATCAGAATAGCGTATAACTTTATACATCATATTCTATGTTTTATATTAGTCTAAATATTTATGTCCAAAGCTAAATTAGTATTTTAACATTACCTTCAAATAATGCCAATGTGGATTACATATGTATATGTTGTTATCGATCATGAAACTGAAATATAAAATATTTATTGTATATTGCATTCTCATAAAGCATTATATTTGTATTTGTATTACATTATAATCAATTATCAGATTAAAAATTTAGCAGCAAAAACATTCAGACATATGCTTGTCAAACTTGTTAATCATCATATCAAAACGGGAAATATATTTTATATATATTTTATAAATAAGAAAAAAATTAAAATAAAAAAACAGTAATTCTAAACTTACTCTTCATAAGAAACTTCAATGTATAATGCACTTGTTGCAATTGCGCGGCATATCAATAAAAAAAATTCTTGCCATTGTTTCCCATTTATATATTTCTTGTACTCTGAAAAAAATTTAATTATCAATATTCAAAATTACTATATCATCGGAATCAATAATATTTATCGTTATATCAGGAAATCTTTATCACCACGTTTATGTAAGACAGGGATAACTAAAAATATTCATCACATTTTAATAACTCAAAAAATAAAGCAAACAAAATATAATATTATCTTCTCAATTAATATAGTTTTATTAAGAAACTTTAGCAACTTACATAATTCATTTTATAATTAGAAGCTGCAATCATCCATCTTTCAAATGAACATCTGTAACAAATGATATGTTTATTATACATTATTAGCAGTAATTAATATGTAAATAATCCGTTATATAACTTGATATATTTATATATTCTTATCAAACTTGTTATTTTTTCAGAAATAACATTTACATCATAGCATTCAGATTGACTGGATGCGGTTGACGTTGTACTCATCATATATCATATGTATTCCAAATAGAAAATTGAGAAATAATGCTTATGAAACAATTGACTTTAAAGTGTGATATATATATATATATATATAAAACATAAATTTTAACTTACATGAATCGCTGATTTTAAGAAAAATCTCATTAGGATAAATCTCGCCATTTGTATACATATTATACAAATTCTCTTTTCCAATATTCATCTATAAAGGAAATACATACATATTAAGATGTCATTCAATAATAGATTGATAAAAAAAGAAAAAAAGAAAAATTTCAGAGGACTGAATCAATCATAGTTCTCAGACTGGGGCAGTAAAGTCGCATCATATAATTAACATGTATATATTTTTTATATATTGTTAAAAATAAAAAATATAAGCAAAATATCTAATTTTATGTTCACAAGTGAAAAAGTTACCATGTGCTTTTCCTTTACATTAGGAATCTTATTTCTTAATAAACAAATTCATTTATCCAACAATATAAAAAATTATTTTAATGTATGGATATAACGTTTTTTTTTTGCACTTGTATTATCATATTAAATGATTGAATAGAAATATTCGATAAATGAGTAACTTTATGAAGCAGTATTTGATAAAACTGTAAAAGTGTTGATCAGCAGGCGATCGAAATAATTTGAACGCAATTCAACTGAAATTAACAGAAAATGAAAAGGCGCATAAATTATACTCGCAAGATAACAAGATTTCAATTAAATTTCCTCGATGAGAAACAAAATAGTACTCACTAAAATTGTGATTGCGATAAGAGCGAGTTACTTATAGCGGGTGCTCTTCGACGCTCGAAGTGATAGCGAGGAGGCTCTATAAATCCAGCACTAAAAGGGAAACGAGAACTAAATCTCAAGACGAAGCATGCGGCGATGTGTCGCCGTGAGGGTGGCATAATCAGAAACACGTAAAGATATAATCAAGAGATGATCATACGAACGAGACAACGTGTCATCATTATCGGAACGAAATAAACGTGATCAAGCTTCGCGTTAAAATATAATCGGAAAATACAATCGAAAATATTATACTCAAGAAAAATCGTGCGCAAGAAGCTTGTTTCAAGATGTTTAAGCGAAGAATGCACGCGGATGATGATGGATTTCGAAAACGTGTATCTCGATTCCTAGCTTACCTTCTTGGAGCTACTTGGAGCACAGCCTATCTCTTGAGAGATTCAATTGGAAATGAACGAGACAAGCGACGCGCGACGCGTGCTCGAGAAAAATTTCCGCGCATGCGCGAGACGTTATGACGGATTCGCACGAAATCATTCTTCTTCCGATTGCGTTCGTAAATTTATTCGAATTTATTGGAGTAACGTTTGACCAATCAGAATAAAGAAATTCTTGTTTCTTCCGTTGATTGGTCAATCGAACATTACTTTATACGATGAATAAATATTTGTGAATGCAGCCTTTTTGCAGTGCATAAGAAAATGTTGTTGCTCTGTGATTTTATTTGTTATTTGAAATTAATCGAGCAGCCGTAAAATCTTATAAATTCACGAGAAAAACGTCATATTTAAGGATGTTCTGTATGTACAATCCCAGTAAAAAATAGTTGAAAATCAATATTGACGAATAGCCACTTTTGATGTATTTTGAATATGAGAAATTGTGTGGAATATTATAATTTGATCTTAGCTACGGTGCAGAGATGTATTTTTTAATATTTATTGTGTTTTTTCTGAAATATTCTGAATTTTGTTAATCGAATGATTAACTTTTGGCAGAGAATTTCGCCTTGTGACAGATACATGGCTAACTTCATTAAATTATATTTAATATCTTTTTAACCAGTTAGTACTTGTATAATATTATTTGACCAAATATTTCTTCTGTATCCAAACTACACTTTTGCAAATTTTAAACAAATTCTGAATATTATTTCCATGTGTTTTTATCATTTGAATCGACGTGGTTATACGTTTCCCATAAAAACACATGTTAATTCGGTGCAAATTAAAATCCTTATAACTTGTGAACGCTTTAGTGAATCGATTTAAAAATTGTACTGAAGATTCTAAACATATGTAAGGACATTCTGTACAATTTTCATTAAATTCTCAATATTTTGAAAATAGGTACAAAACATCCTTAAATCGCGTTCTCATCAGAATTGGATGACATTTACGTCAGATGTAGCCTAATCTATCCCAACCTTGCGTTACAATTTGTCATCTGTGTGTGAAGAAAACCGAGTTCGTCGTTCGCGTCGCAATAATTCATATTCGCGAGCGATGCACGTTGGATAATGTTGTCAGCGGTGTCTTGAAATATCGTCTTGCACGAGAGAATTTTTCCAAACGTGCGTTTAATCGTCGACGTCCAGTTTTACACGAGCGTGATGGAGTGTCAGCCTACGCCAAAGATATGTGGTGTGCGATAAAAATGTCTCTGCTCACTGAGCGATAAGATTCAGTTTTCCACGGTGTGTATACTTGTCGAGTCTTTCGATAGCATCTTATCGCTTTTTTTTCCCCATCTTACATCTGTGTGTGTTTGCTGATTTTAAGTAATAGAAATGAATGAAAATCGTTGAAGGGCGTTTGACCTCAATTCACGTCGTGTTATTATTAATTAACTCGAAATCTGCTCAATCTCTGTATTATTAGGCGCTAATTTTTCAATGAGAGAAATTTAATCTGATTACATTTTAGGAGAAGAGTGAGTGATATTTGAGAGCAACCTGTGCATATGTGCGTCTACTTAAAACGATGATGGAGTTGAGTCATAGTTTGACCCTCAATGAGGATGCCCTTAATCAAATTCCGGAAGCTAAGCGGCCGGTTTTCATTTTCGAGTGGTTGCGCTTCCTGGACAAAGTTCTAGTTGCTGCTCAAAAGGTATCTATGTAAAAGTTTTATTGTATTATTAAAAAATCTATGAAAAGATACAATTGAAATAAGGCCTTAATTATGATAAAAATGTTATTTGCGTAGAATGATATTAAAGAATGTCAGCAAAAGTTAGTGGAGCAATTGACCAGACACATGCAAGGAGCTCCTGGACCACCCACACGACGTCTCATAGCAAGATGTCTCGCTACTCTATTTAGCGTTGGCGATACATTCTTGCTCTTTGATACTGTCAACAAATGCAATGACATCTTGAGAAATAAAGATGATTCACCGAGCTTTTTACCCACAAAATTGTAATGTATCATTATTAATTTTATTAATAATTATTCTGCAATGAAATAATTCTCTATAATTTATGATTGATGTGTATATGTTTCCTCAGAGCTGCTATTTGTTGTGTGGGATGCATGTATGAAAAACTAGGAAGAATGATGGGCAGATCATACGAGGAAACTGTGCAGATCCTAATAAAATCATTGCGTTCTGCTGAATCGCAAATGCGAATAGAAATTATGTACACATTGGAAAAGGTAACAAACAATTTTATCAATAAGTTGTTAAACTGTAAATGAAATATCTATAATTTATTTTATTACAATGTACTTTATTTGTATTATATATAATATATTTTATTTGTATTATAATTAGGTATGTGCTGGGATGGGATCGGCAATAACTAATGTGCATAAGGAGATATACAAAGTTTCCAGGCATTATCTGACTGATAGAGTGATGGCAGTGAGATGCGCTGCTGCCAAGGTATTTTATATTTATGAAAAAAAATGTCACGCAGTTATACATATATATTTTTCGTTTTTCTATAATCAATTTATTTTATAAATAGTGTTTGTTGGAAATGTTGAATCACGCTCCGTTTTTATATACAACTGAAATTGAAAGCGTTGCGACATTATGCTTTCGAGCATTTGAAGGCTCAAATTACGAAGTGAGATGTTCTGTCGCTAAATTATTGGGCACTTTGGTGGCGATGACACAGCTACCTTCGCCCAAGATAAAAAATCCTACAGGTATAATAAATAAATAAATTATAATAAAAATATATTGTAAAAATATATATCTATTATTTCTCTTACATATTGTTTATCTTTTTGTAGTCACGCACAATAAGGGCATTAGACAAACGTCGCTCGAAGAAGTGTTAAACATCCTGATGTCTGGATTTTTGAGAGGTGGCGTTGGCTTTTTGAAAGGAACCGGCGAGATAATAAAAGGTAGCTCCAGCGTAAACAGAGAAGTGCGAGTTGGAGTGACACATGTAAGCGATCATGCACATTTAAGTGGTTGTTTTTTTTAAAATAAAAAAACTTAGAGACTAATTTGATGTTTATATATTCCTAGGCATACGTGGTGTTTGTACAAATGCTGGGTGGCACTTGGCTGGAACGTAATATCGGTGCGCTAATTGCTCACGTTCTAGACCTAGTTACAAATCCGAAAGCCGCTAGCTCGCATGTTGAAGCGGTATATTCACGCAAATGTGTAAATTTCATATTACGCGGTACTGTCGGCAAGCTATTAGGAGAAGGCGCTCAAGCTGCCGCTTGCAAGGAGATAGCGCATATTATTCTGAAGCAAATGAATTCCATCGGTAATAATAATAATAATGTTTTGCGCGAATGATGATGTAATTGCATGTAATTTCAATAAACGTGGCTTTACAGATTTCAGTCCGGAAAATGCCAAGGATTGCAATCAAGAGACGTTATTCAGCCAGCATTTGTTAGTGTGTGCATTACAAGAAATGGGTTGTCTAATACTGGGATTAGGTACCACAGCCACAAATCTATTATCCGACCAATCTTTAAGTATGTATTTGCAGATCTGAAACATCAGTTTTTTTTCTCTGATATGAGAGTGAACGAGAAGAAGTTAATTATAATTTAACGTATCGCTTATCAGATCTGATCGATACTGTAATGGCCGTCCTAGTACATCCGTGTCAAGCCGCTAGATTGGCAGCTTCTTGGTGTTTACGGTGCATATGCGTCGCAGTACCAAGTCAAATAACGCCGTTAATCGATCGATGCGTCGATGGGATTGAGAATATGCGTAGTTCACCAGAAGCTATAGCCGGTTATAGCAGCGCTCTCGCTGCGGTTCTAGGAAGCGTTCGTCTGTCACCCTTAGGTGTTCCTCATACTAAAGGAAAGGTATAATAAAAGCTCTTATTACTCATTATCGATCGCATCTATATATAACGTGAGATTAATTTGCCTCTGCAATTTACCCTAGATAATTTTCAATACGGCGGAAGAACTCTTGAGAAGCGCTAGTCAAAATAGTCGTTTATCTTTAAATCGCACACACGCAGGATGGCTCTTGATAGGAGCAATAATGACTCTAGGTAAATGAATCTTATATCAAGTATAAAATATAAGTACGCGCGAGCTGTGCTACATGTAATTTATGCTAATATACAGGTACGGCAGTGGTGAAAGGCTTATTGCCGAGAATGTTACTCCTATGGAGAAATTCTTTTCCCCGCTCGAACAAAGAGCTCGAAAGCGAGAAGGCACGCGGTGATGCTTTCACGTGGCAGGTAACTCTGGAAGGACGTGCCGGTGCGCTGTCCGCTATGTATAGCTTTCTGTTACACTGCCCGGAACTTCTGAATGACGATATCACACGACGATTACTTACGCCGATCGAGTCCGCTCTGGCGATGTTGACAAAGTATGAATTAATATTTTTAGAAGAGTATCTGGAATGTAAAATATAAAATATAATATCTGAAAAATATCTAGAACATCTAGAAATTCTACATACATATATTTTTTTTCCAGTTTATCACCCGTTTTGAAGAATTACGGTCAACAATTAAAAGCTCCCGCAGCTATGGTTCGTTTGCGCTTATACGAAACATTATTCCTCCTACCGCCGCAAACGTTCGAAGGTAAAATTAATGCTCTACAGGGTGTATCTTAAAAAGCTCCCATTAAGCAAATAGCGTTATTCCTGATTAAAAACCAAGTCGAAAAGTCCTGAACCATTTTTTTTTCCAAGATTCATTAAATAATTAATCAGATTTAAATATTAAAAAGATTTCTGAAAAGATGAATTGTTTAAAAATTAACACAAAACTATTATTATTATTATATTGTCACTGGTTATTATATATTATTTTTAATTGTATAATAGCAATATTTTATTTTGCTTATTATACATACAAATCATACATCTTATTTATTTTAGTAAAAAGGATGCAAAAGGATAATTTAACATTATTTCATATTTCTTTAGGTAACAAGATCCTTATCCAAATCTTCATATATTGATAACGAGGAAGTTTGTCTTTTTATTGGCGCGACTTTACTCATTAATTACTGCTTTATTAAGCATTATGGAAAAAAATGGTTCAGGACTTTTCGACTCAGTTTTTAATCAGGAATAACGCTATTTGCTTAGTGGGAGCTTTTTAAGATACACCTTGTATATAAATCAATTTGCATTATTCTCTACCATTTTTTCTATTTGTTTGCATTATTATCTGATATTGTAATTTAGGCTCCTACACGCATCTTCTAAGAATGCTGGTGTCAGAGTTCACGCTTACGGACAATCCTGGGAATACGACTACTTCTTTATTGCGTGTAGTTTGCCATGCTAATGATTCTGTGATTCTCGGTACATGGCTGCAGGAGACTGATCATCGTACGATAGAAGATCAAGTGAGTACATCTTCATATATTATAATTTTTACTGCCATAAGTAACTTAACATTTTTGTGTCTAATGCTTTGTTGAGTGCATTGCTTCCTTAAATCTAGTTCTCTTTGAGAATTGAAAAATCTTCGAAAATATCGTTTATTTAATTAAAATTGTTTTATACATTCTTTTAACATTTATTAACAGACAATCTGTGTAATTTAGTAACAAAGAAGAAAAACTTTCTTTTATATGTCATCTTATATATTGTATAACTCTTCAAATTTATTTTTTAATTTTACACTTCATATCAACTTTATGAAGAATAAGCATAACACAAATACTTTTGCAATTTAAGCTTTTTTAATGTAATTTCGGCATTACCTTATAAATACCTTCGTTCGTGTTTAGATGGAACCAAATAGAAGGGCAGATTTGGAACATGTGAGTAAGGTGTTCTGCAAAAAATGTGCCTTTTGTTTCAACTATAACGTAATAATATTCTCTTTGTTTTACTGATATTTATATCTACATAAAGTTTTATAAAGCTATATTATGTGTAAAAATTAATTAATTTTTATGTACAATCTACTTTTATATTATTATTATTGTTATATTGTCACTGGTTATTATATATTATTTTTAATATTGTATAATAGCAATATTTTATTTTGCTTATATTTTAGATTTTGGAAACATCAAATATATATATACAAATATCTTATTTATTTTAGTAAAAAGGATATATAAAGGATAATTTAGCATTATTTCATATTTCTTTAGGTTACAAGATGCAGATTTAATTTTCATATAATTCACTTCAATTATGCTCTAAAATTTTATTACAATCCATGATTTTTCTTTTAGCTTCAACCAAATAGCGCTGCAGGATCTGGAGCATTGGAACATAATACATGCTGCCTTTATAGACCAATGCCATGTGTGAGTTTAAGTATTTAATATGAATAATTTAAATGTACTTTACTGTAAGTTATAAATATAAATGAAAGAATACATACAAAACATGATACAAATTTAATGCAATATTATATTTACAGATTGAAATAATACCTGGTCCTTTACCGTTGGGCGTAGCGGTGATTGATTTATCGGTCGCGTTATTCGGCCAGATATTTCCGCGTGTAGCAAATAAGCACAGACTGCAGATGCTGGATCACTTTAGCGAATGCATAAAACACACCAAGTCCGGAAGACAGGAGGCGATACAGATGAACGTGTTCACGGCTGTATTGAGCGGCTTGAAAGGTCTCAACGAGGCAAAGACAGGTTTTGGACAAGAGGACGTCAAGAAATCCGCCACTAATCTTATCATTGTAAGGCAATGTTGTTACATGAAATGAGGATATATTTTGTCAATCGATTATAAAATTAGACAATGCTCTTTATAATGTTTTAGAGTACATTAGTCAGTGGCAATCCTATTTTACGATGGGCGGCGGGAGAAGCAGTCGGCCGAATGGCCCAAGTAATCTCCGATCCTAAGTTCACCGCTGAATTGGCGCAGACTAGTTTCGATCGTCTGAAATCAGCTCGCGATGTTGCCAGCAGAACCGGCCATTCGTTAGCGTTAGGCTGCCTCCACAAGTATGTCGGTGGCATGGGTTCCAGTCAGCATCTCAACACTAGTGTCAGCATTTTACTTGCACTTGCTCAGGATAATTCGTCTCCTGTAGTACAAGTAAGATGTCATTTTATTTTATTGTTTACTTTCTTTTTATTTTAATTTTGAATAACACAAACTTTGAATAAAATAAATTTTCTTCTCTCTAGGTTTGGGCACTGCACGCTTTGGCTCTGATAGCTGATTCTGGTGGACCAATGTTCAGGGGTTATGTGGAGCCTACTCTATCCTTGGCACTGACCCTTCTTCTCAATGTTCCTCACTCTTACATCGATGTGCATCAATGCATCGGAAAGGTTTTATCAGCACTTATCACGACGATAGGACCAGAATTACAAGGTAAATAACGTATATAATATATTTGATTATTATTATATTTGATTATTATTATATAATTATAATTATATATGCATGATTATATGTAAAATAAAATTTTGACAAATATATCCTCAGGATTCTAAAGAAAAATAATTTATCGAGCAATTGATTTTAACAGGCAATACATCAACGATTTGCATGGCACGGTCGTCATTTTTATGCGCATGTGCCATCATGCAGGATCATCAGGATCCGCTCGTTCAAGCCGAAGCAACTGGTTGTCTTCAACAATTGCATCTCTTTGCACCTAGACATGTCAATTTGTCTTCTCTCGTTCCTACATTATGTGTAAGACTTCTTTAAACATTTTAAATTTATTGTGAAATATGTTTATTATAGGTGCTTTTTCTTTTTCTAGCGTACTCTATCGAGTAATCATTTACTTTTACGTAAAGCTGCGATATCATGCCTTCGACAACTTGCTCAGCGCGAAGCTAAGGAAGTGTGTGAGCATGCGATGACATTGGCCAACGAAAGTAGAGATACTAATATAGTAGAGGGTCTCATCATTACCGAGACCGGGTTACCGGGCGTGCTCTTCAGTATGCTGGATACAGAAACTGATAGTAAACTAATTAAAGACATTCATGATACTTTGACGAGCATGTTGCACATATTATCTGCCGACAATCTGTCTCAATGGTTGTCGTTGTGCAAAGATGTTCTCACAATAGCTTCAGGTAATTCAAGTCGAGCTTTTTGGTCCAATCATCACTGGAACATTTTTATGATGTGACATCCTGTTTTGTTACGCAGAATCCAGTACAGTCGAGGAAGGTAACACGGCGAATGCGGATGACAGCGCCACTGATAATGAATCAGCCGACGCGGAGGGTGACGACGATCAGGCTGAATTCCACGCTGACGAATCCAAGCAGCGGCCGTCCATCACCCCGAGATGGCCGACCAGAGTCTTTGCAGCGCAATGCGTTAGACGCATTGTCGCAGCCTGTATGAACAATAAACAGGCGCATTTTGATCTTGCTTTGGCCAAAGAAATGCAGCTGTCTAAGGGAAAAGGTATAATTGATGAGTCCCAACATTGCTCTCTTTAGAAATTTTTCTTGATTCTTAATACTCATTTTTACGAGTTTTTTTTTAGGAGATTTTCTGGTGCTACATTTATCAGATCTGGTGCGCATGGCGTTTATGGCTGCAACAAGTGATTGTGACCCATTGCGACTCGAAGGTCTGAAAACCCTGCAAGAGATTATTGACAAATTTGCTAAAGTTCCCGAACCGGAATTTCCCGGGCACTTATTGCTCGAGCAGTTTCAGGCACAGGTGAATTTCTTTTTAATTCATTTATCAATATGTTTTTTAGAGAAATGTATTTAACAGTTATTATATTAGATATTAATTTCAAGGTTGGAGCTGCTTTAAGACCAGCGTTTTCCGCAGAAACTCCGTCACATGTTACAGCCGCGGCTTGCGAGGCTTGTAGCGCATGGATCGGCAGCGGGGTCGCCAGGGATCTCAATGACTTGCGAAGAGTCCATCAGTTGCTCGTATCGTCCTTGGAAAAATTACGGGAGGGTAACACTCGGCCTCAACTTTATAACGAAAGTTTATCAACGCTGGAAAGATTGGCGATTCTAAAAGCGTGGGCAGAGGTATATTTATATATACGTATATATATATATATATATATATATATATATATATATATTAAATTATAAAAAAATTATATATTAGTCTAAAGATACAATAAAGATCAAATTATATTTGAGAAAGGAGAAATTTGATTATTTGATTATTTTTTTATTTTGTTAACAGGTATATGTAGTCGCAATGATACGAGATGGATCCGCGCTAAATAGCAAGGATACGACTAATCGAAATGGGAATCAATCCGACGAAAGAGCCAACGAAGAGGATTTTGGAGAATTTGAATTTCAGAGTGAAAGTCTATTAAGTCTCGTCCAGCCGGAACTTTTGAGTCTGAGTCAACATTGGCTATCTGCATTGCGGGATCATGCATTGCTATCTTTGCCACCAGGTTTAATTCAATATAATATAATTATACAAAATTATATACAAATTTTAAGCAAACACATATATACACACACATAATATTTTATTACATATTAATTATATTAATTAGTAATAAATTAAATTTATATAAATTTATACAAATTAATATAAATTTATAATGAATATGTATTTGTAATCGAGAAACTTTTAAACATGAGTTGATCTTTTTATGATTTTTTTATGTATTTTGTATATACGTTTTAGATTAATATTATCTAGACAATGAAAATTATATATATAATTACATTTTATAATGTTCACCTAGAATTCTCAAGTCAATTGCCACATGATGGAGGTGCCTTTTATACAACGGACACTATGGAATCCGCGCGTCCTCATTATGTAGAATCATGGGCGCCAATTCTTCACGCTGCTACTCTCTGGCTCAATGCGAGAGGATTCGAGATGGGTGATAGCCACGAAAAAACAACAGCAAATGCCAACAATAACAATCCTAACAATAATAACAATAACGATGAAGCTACCACCTCTAGAACTAATATGAATGTTGAACGTTTTCATTTGTTATTTGGTAAATATATTACAACATATGTTATACAATATAAAACACATAATAATGCTTACATTATAATTTATTTTATATGAATATGATTCTTTCTTTTTCTCTCACTCTCACTTATAAAAGGGAAATTGTTATTATAATTTTTATTAACTTATAATTATTACTTTTAGGTATATGTATGGAAGCTTTATGTAGTCCTCGCTCTTCCGAATCTCCACAAAATATAGAGACGTGCTTAAATGCTTTATACACGCTACTCGATTCAACGTGGGCACGTAAAGTTTTTATCGCGGACTGTTCCTTACCCATTGAATTATGTAATGTTCTTCATAGGTATGTATACATATTTAAGTATGTAATAAGCTCTTTTTTCATCGCATAATATCAATATATTGTTTCAAAGATTGCTTTTAACGCGGGAGAGTTATGTCATCCAAATGATAGTAATGGAGGTGCTGAAACAAGTGATGAAAGCAGCGCAGGAAGATTTGGCTGCGAGGAAAAAATTGAAGCTCCGAGGTATGTGAAGTCTAAAATTTCGATAAGTATATATCTATCTGCAAATCCTGTATTTACCTTTTTTCTTTTAAATATATAATAGATACTACATCGGCGAATGAAGAAAATGAAATGTCGGAAGTAGATTTACTGGGCGAAGGAAAAGAAAACGGTGAACTCGTACCGGGCAAATCATTAGTGTTCGCCATTCTGGAAGTGTGCTTATGTCTCTTAGTACGACAGATACCAGCATTGAATCCGAATCCGGGCGGTGCTACTGCTATCCTTTCTCAAAAGGGATACGTTCCGTCAGAAGAGAGCGGCAAGCTGATCTCGTTGTCTCTCAATATAATGGAATCTCTTCCCATCTTATGTTCTCCACAAGGTATTCTTCCTATTTTAATCGATAATATTTTCTTTTTTGGTTTTAATCGATAATATTTTTTTCTATATAATATTCATCCTATGTTTTCGCTTCTGTAGGGGCAATAGCGATTCTGCCAACATTGTTGTATTTGGCGACAGGCGTGATACGAGAAACCGCGGTGCGCACGGATAACGAAAACATCAAACCCGGTGCGGAAGCGCCGGTTCATGCCGCATTGCACTGCGTCAAAAGTCTTACCAATAACAAGTATGCTCGGGATCACAGGAGTCAGGAACAATGGACTGGATTATTGCGAAGCGCACTTGCCAAAATTATCGATCTGGCCAAAACAGGCATGATCATGATTCCATCTTTTATTAGAAGATATATATATATATATATATATATATATATATATATATATATAACGGATTTATATATCGATAAAAAAAATATAACACATATATCTATATTTTATTTTGATTTTTAATATTTCATAAATGAGAACTATAATGTATATATATATAATATAATATATACATTCTTATTTATGAAATATTAAAAATCAAAACAAAATATAGATATATATGTTATATTTTTTTTATCGATATATAAATCCGTTACTCACTATAGTTTAATTAAAGATTAATATATATCATATCCTTTTAATTTTATTTGTGTAGGTAATGATGAAACGAAAATGGATGAGGTAGCTATGATGCTGGGTATCGCGGTATTCGTGTTACACGCGTCGCCAGAGGTAGTAAACGCTCCGAATCTTCAATTCCCATGCATCAATCACTTCCGACACGCGTTCCAATCTGAGAATCTGACAGTGAGTAAAGATATAAAGATAACAGATATCGAAAAATATATTATTTAATATTATCGAAAATAATTAAAATAATCTTACAGATAAGACTGAAATGCGTGCAAACATTAAGAACGATATTTCTGCATCCGGAACGTAATATAAGTACTCCATATATTCACGCGCTTGCACCACGACTGGTAGAATACCTATACAGCGATAAGAGCAAGCAGGTCATAAACGATATGGAATTGACCTTCACATTGGAATGTATCAGTACAGTAGAGGCTCTTATAGGACTTGCCGATCTTTCTAATCGTAAGTTATCATTGTAGAGTTTATAAGAAACATTTACATCACGAAATTTTATAATTAGCATATGCAATAAAATGTTAATGTAAAATGTGTTACACGCTATTCAGGAGATCTGTTACAAGGTGTGTGGGAAGTAGAGATCTTCACAATCTAATTTTTCAATGTTTTAATTAATCTTATTTATCTTTCATCACGATATGAGTGAACATAATGTAAATATGACGTTTCAAAATTAAAATTACTAGGTATTCAAATGCTGACTCTGCTCGTGCCAATTTTAATCAACTATTTGCTGGAAGGAGACGAGCTTCAACGCGCCACTAAGTATCAAGCGAGTCTCCATCAACAGAGTTTTCAATGGCTCAATAAGATTGGGCCAAAATATCCGCAGGTATATTTCGAAAATATTTTTGAATCATAAGTACATAACATTATTATAATAATTATTATTTATATCTCTAGGAATTTAAGACGCTAATGTCACAATCTACCGAGCTAAAGATTAAATTGGAAAACGCTGTGAGAACTAACCATCAACAAGCGCAGCGACATACTCGATCGGTTGATTCTGTGAAGCCACAAATCAAGATATCTGCACCATCAATAAAATTGAAAACCGATTTCTCCAACTTCAATTAGAAATAAATAATCTGTTATAAATCTATTAGAATCGTGTAAAAAATATTAACGATACTAATGATATTAACGATTCTGTCGCAATAGTAACATATTTGCATAAAGACGACTGACTTTAATAATTATCGATCAGGAATGAATAGAATTAATCACTCTTTGTATAACATATTAGCATCGTGATAATTATAAAGTGATATCTTGCTGTTAGAGAATCTTACTCAACCGTACTTAGAAGTATAAAGAAATTAGTAATATTATGGCGGATATCAGGGATAGTTAAAAAAAAAGATGGATAAATTAATATCGCATGATCAATTAATCTTTATCGTAAAGTAATATTTATTTTTATCTTATCATAAAGTATAATATTTATCTCTTCTATACATTTTCTCTTTTTATCCACCCATTGAACTATTTCATTGCTAAGTACAATAACGTTCCTGATTTTTCAGTCATGCTTTCCCAAGTGTAAGAGAACTTTATATTATATTTTCAAATTGTACATATTGTAGAATTATATACACATATATAGAAATTATTAATTTATTTGATAATATAAATAAAGATTTATATTTTCTCGCTTCACAGCTTCCATAGGTTATGAACATTAATAACAATTTCATTTCATGAAGATGTGTTAATAGAAATTAAATGACTACAGATATTAATACAATATGCACAAAATTTATGAGTAATATAATAATATATATATAAACCTCTGTGCTCAGTGTAAATCGTATTAATCTATAATTCAAAAATTAATTCATAGTTTTATTTTTAAATTATTGATGTAGCTCTAGTTGTATTATTGATAAAAATTATTTATATACAAATTATAAATAACTGAATTCCTAAGAAAATACTATTTGCCACAAAACGGATTGGAATGCAATTAAAGACCAGCGTAAAGTATACAAACAGATTTAATCACGAGGATATTTAACATTCTTTTAATAAGACTGATAATCCCTGCTACATTTTTATTTAACAATTTTACATAATACATGTATACAGTATTATACATAGTTTGTTTTGTCTAGAACTGATAGAGTTGGAATAGCTACTCGAAATGTCTGATGTGACATATAATCGAATTATAATATACTGAAAGCTCTTTTGTAATATAATGTTTTTTTTTCTAGGACAATTTTTTTCTGACAAGAAAGCGGTTTTGTAAATTAACAATAACATAATACTGACTATTTCAGTAAAGAAGTAATGCTTTAATAATCCTTAAAAATCATGAAAATCATAATTTTTTTTGTATTTGATCTTTAGATTGTATTAAAAAGAATTGTAGTAAAAAAAAACAAAGGAAGAGTGAATTGTATGGCACGAGATATATATTAGGAAATATGATTTGAAAGTCTGTGTATGCAAACGTGTGTACCAATAATTATCTGAATTGACTGCCCATTTAAGAATCCATAGAACAAACCTCTTTCACAGCATATGTAAAGAATTATGTTCGAAAAATGCGTATTAGATTTGGTTATTGATAAAAGATAAGGATTACGTGCTCGATAGATGTTCTACTATTTTTATATAATTACTTTAAGAATATACGTTGATCGCGTTTGCAATTTTTAATTGTACGTCGCATTCGCGTTCATACATATTGTATATCCGATTCTCGAACTTCCATGTATATTGATTTATTAGCGCGTTTTCGAAATTATGACAGAAATCCTCTCTGACAAATAGTACAACTATGTAATGCTATTACTGTAATCTACAGAAATAAAAATCACCTCATTTAACTGTAATTTCTCATTAATTTCTATCTATATTTGATCTTATAAGTTTTATGGTAAATTTAAGATTATTCTTTAAATTTATTATTTATTATTTATTATTCACTATTCCTTGCCTTTCGGCTTACGATAGATTTCCTGTTCGATCTTTACAATATTTATACTTATATTTATACTCATTTTATCATACGACTAAACTATAAAGTCTCTATTCCTTTGGATCTTTAGATTATTCTTTAGATACATTCTTTTTACATATTTTTTATAAATATATAAATATATATATATATATATATATATATATATTAATTTTTAAATAGAAATGTGAGATTTTTTAAAGATAAATATATAAAATATCAAAAATTTGAAACTTATGAAAAATAATTAACAATTATACACATCATATTTTTTATAATTATTATAAATGATTTTTGTAATTATTATAAATGATTTTTGTTTCGTTATTTATTATCTCGATCATTTTTTAATTTAATGATTATGTAGTAAACATGATTTTGAATAAATTATATTTTATTTTTTTAATTGTCTTGCTTTTGTCTACACGTGCGTATTCATTTGCAGTGGTGCAATATTATTTTGCAAACGGTAAGCTATCTAGACTGTTTAGTATCCTTGATGATAAGTATGTGATATTAAATCTTTTAACTGCACGAGTTATCGAAATGACGGACAGTTTTGAGTGAGTTTCATAACGATTTCCCCTTCTTAAAGTTAAGAACTTACACATGTGCATTCTATACATAAGGTTTATAAAAACCAATGTATCAGGCATGTTTAGGCTAGTATATCGCATGTTATCGTCGAAGAATGATTATCACTCTATCGTGATAGTCCTCGCAATATAACTAATCGTAGCAAAGTCGCAGAGAGATTCACAGCGAGCGAAGAGACTTGACTCGACCGATTTTTCGATTCGAAAGAATTCAACGCAATTAAGCGAGATGGTAAAGGCAAAAAAGTATGTGCTAGTGAAGCATTTCGTCAACGATCCGCAACCGACGGATTTGCAATTGGTAGAAGAGGAGTTGCCGCCTCTACAAAATGAAGGTTGATTTGAATTGATTAATTTATTTGCATTGTGCAGTACGCATTCATTGTCGAGTCATCTTGTAAAGGGAATGAAATCAAACGCAACAAGTTTCTTTAATAAATATATATGATTCCGTAAAAAAATTATAATTATTATTAAATTATACAAGTTACAAATAATGGATCAATTTAATCGCATCGTCGTTATATATATAATTTACTAATTGTCGCTGATCTTGTAATATAGACGTAGAATCATATACATAATTTTTTTAAATAAATATATGAATATATAATTATATATGTATGATTATAAAAAAAATATGTAAATATAATCTAGATATTTTTTAGAAGATAATGTTTTAAATTTAAACATATGTTGAATTTAGACTTCGTAATGAGTTAAACGCTACAAATGCAAATTGTAGTAAACAATCAGTCACTGAGTAAATAACCGGAATTTCCGTCTCAGGAAATAAAGAAAAATAATAAATTTACTTTTAAGAATATATAATTTCATCTTTGTTTAATAATGCAACATTAACGATTGAATTACAAAATAATTTCGGTGAATAAATTTTCTTCCAATTATCGATATTAATTGGTATTATTTAAGGATGTATTGTATGTACAATCCCAGCAAAAAGTAATTGAAAATCAATTTAAATAAAAATGTGAGATTATTTTTTAAATATAAATATATAAAATATCAAAAATTTGAAACTTATAAAAAATAATTAACAATTATACATATCATATTTTTTGTAATTATTATAAATGATTTTTGTTTCGTTATTTATTATCTCGGTCATTTTTTAATTTAATGGTTTTTAATTTAATGGTTATGTAGTAAATCTTTCGGAATATTTCAGTAAAAACGCAATAAATATTAAAAAATACATCTGTGCACTGTAGCTAAAATCAAATGTAATTTCTCATCACTTTCGGTGTATTTTGAATATAAGAAATTACAATTTGATCTTAGTTACAGTGCACAGATGTATTTTTTAATATTTATTGCGTTTTTACTGAAATATTCCGAATTTTGTTAATCGAAATGATTAACTTTTGGCAGAGAATTTCGCCTTGTGATACATGGCTAATTTCATTGAATTATATTTAATATCCTTTTAACCAGTTAGTACTTGTATAATATTATTTGACCAAATATTTCCTCTGTATCTAAACTACACTTTTACAAATTTTAAACAAATTCTAAATATTATTTCCACGTGTTTTTGTCATTTGAATCGACGTGGTTGTACGTTTCCCATAAGAACACATGTTAATTCGATGCAAATTAAAAACCTTATAACTTGTGAATGCTTTAGTGAATCGATTTAAAAATTGTACTGAAAATTCTAAACATATGTAAGGACATTCTGTACAATTTTCATTAAATTCTCAATATTTTGAAAATAGGTATAAAACATTCTTAATATCATCGAGGTCGTTAAGTCATCTATATTGATCAGACCATATTTTTTCTTTCTTCTTTATAGAAATTCTTTTGGAAGCCGAATACCTCTCCGTAGATCCGTACATGAGACCGTACGTACAAAGATTTCCAGTTGGAATCACGATGATCGGATCTCAGGTCGCTAAGATCGTGGAATCCAAAAACCCTAATTATCCAGTTGGCCGAAGACTTGTCGGGCATTTTGGCTGGAGAACTCATACGATTATCAATCCAAAGGTCGAGGAAAGTAAATCCGAGGAAGTAAACTCACGACCATATTTTTTGCCGAATATAGGTGATCTACCACCGTCTCTCGCTTTAGGTGCCTTGGGAATGCCAGGGTAAAAAATAGAAAATTTTCATTTTAATGCAATTTAATAAGGTGCATCTTCTTTGCATTTCGCGATAACACAGATATAAAATTATGTGTGTATGTGTGTGGTTAGATTAGATAATGTGGTTAGATTAGATAAGATAAATTAGAAAATAAGAAAACACAAAGCGCTCTTGCGGTCTTTTTGTTTGACTTGCATTTAAACTTTGATATTTGTGTAAATTATGAGAGTGCAAGTATTTATTCTTATATATTAATATATATTAATATTAGAAATTAATGTTTAAGACGGATATGAACTCAGAACTCAAACTAATTAATTCTTTTCTTTTTAATTAAGAAATTGACGAAGAGGATGAAATCATTGATCAATTTAGCTTTTCTCTGAAAGCTTATATAAAAACTTGTTTTTTTCCCAAAATATATGCATATCATATATAAGAAAATAATATAATAAATTGTATACATATTTATATTATGAATATAAATTCAATTTGCATTTTTTATAGCAACACGGCGTACTTTGGTCTGATGGAGATATGCAAACCAAAACCTGGTGAGGTAATTGTCATTAGTGGAGCCGCTGGTGCAGTTGGTGCTCACGTGGGCCAGATCGCCAAGAATTTGGGCCTTACTGTCATCGGTATATGCGGCTCCGACGAGAAATGCAAATGGCTCGAGGAATTGGGCTTCGATGCTACCATTAATTACAAGACCGCACCGATCGCAGCAACTTTACGTAAAATCGCTCCGCAAGGCATAGATTGTTATTTCGATAATGTGCGTCGAACAATATGTATGCAAATTATAAATAATACATTGCAATTATTTTTTCCATGTGCATAAATTGTTCATTTTTTGAATATGTATTTTCTCTCTTTAAATGTCTTTTAGCTGGCGTAAATTATATATAAATTAATATTTTTTTTAAACAATTAAAGGGTCACTATTTGTTAAAACTTTCTCATTTTCTTATGCATTATTCGTGCCAGTTATTCTTTTTGTTCAAGTCTAATTAAAATTTGGAGAGATTCTTCTTTCCCTAAAAACACAATGGATATCGTGACTAAAATCGCGATGAAATTGTAGGTCGGCGGGGACATCTCTACTACAGTTATATATCAGATGAGGCTGTTCGGTCGAATAGCCGTGTGCGGTAGCATCTCGACTTACAGTGCGGATTCTTCATCCTTACCCAAATCCACCGTCTTGCAACCTGTGATACTATTCAATCAATTGAAAATGGAAGGCTTTATCGTTCGGCGCTGGGCGAAACGTTGGAACGAAGGAATCGAGCAGAATCTGCGATGGATCCGCGAGGGCAAGCTTCATTATCGAGAGACTGTGACCAAAGGCTTCGAGAATATGTTCGATGCATTTATTGGTATGTTGAACGGCAAGAACATCGGAAAGGCGATCGTCCAGGTTTAGGATCAACAAGTCATGAGTATCGTCGTGCAATGCATCCTATACAAATGTATATTTCTGAAAAATTAAAAAAAATACGAATTTTATATTTTTCGTATGTTAACATTATTTTGAATTTTGAGCGAAACTTAATAAATATGTATCTATTTCTATCTTCTTTTTTAAATAAACATATATTTAAATTTCGATTAAGAAAATAATGTTGATGTAGTCGCACCTAAGGAATTTTTAAATGACATTTTTAAAGATAATGTGTTAAACACAAGAATTTGATTCGTATCGAAAAAGATATATGATGCAAATATAATTAAAAGTTTATTAGGTTTTTATTTTTCAATTAGTTTCTATAACGAGTAACTTTTATTTTCGAAAAAAAATATTTGAAAAAGAGGAAAAAACATATATATATATATATATATATATATATATATATATATATATATATATTATACATATATACGTTGCATATTCATTGTAATGCTAAAAGCATTGTGTAATGTTAAAAAAAATATAAATAATATAAAGAATAATAATTTAAAATATATTTATCTATTTGTTTTTCAACCTTGAAATAAAATATTTTACTTTGTAATATAACATGGCAATTAATTATAATTGTATTACATATTATAAATAATCTTTGAATATATAAATTTATATTCATGAGAAATATATATATATATATATATTTAGCGCAATATGATTTACAAAGATCTTATTAGAGAATTAAATAATACTAACAAATTTGTTACATTGTAATTATTCCACATTTTACAAGAATAATCGGAAATGTCGCTCTAAATTTAAAACATACATATGTATACATATGTATATACATGTATACGCGACACACACTTAGCGCGATATCTCCGACCGTTCTTATACAATGTGGAATTAATAATAATAATAATAATATATTATTAATATATAATATTAATATTAAATAATAAAAGTAATATTAAATAATATAAAGAATATTAAATAATATAAACAATATTAAATAATATAAATAATATTAAATAATATAAATAATATTAAATAATATAAATAATATTTGTATATTTTTTATTTCTATTTGATTTGATATTTGATTTTACCACCAGTCAATAAAGACGGAAAACTGCAACTTTATTATCGTAAGTTGATAAATTAATTCCGTGCGCGATTGGCAGAGTTGCGAATCTACGTCGTGACATTGTTTAGCCATCAGTCTCGAAAATGGCGGCCGTATTGGACGAGGTCGGCAAATCTGCCGAAAAGCTTGTAGACGAGGAAAAGAACGAGATCGTCGACGAGGAGGACGAGACTGGCGCGGTCGAGGCCTCGAAGAAGAAGAAGAAGAAGAAAAAGAAGAAGAAGGCCGGTGCGTTTAAATACACGATTTCGTGTCCTCGATCGTTCGCGCCCTGTTTCAATCCCGCTTTGACACGTGCAAATTTCTTTAATTATACCGTGAAATACAGTCACAAAATTGCCGGGAGAAATCCGTTCGTTTTCAATCGAACTTACTCGCGACGTCTCGTTCAATTTCGCGCGAACTATGCGATTTGTCGTGTCGTTAAAAGCGCGCGACTCCAACGGGCGAGGTACTTGTTAATGTGCTCCGTCATTTTCGAATATCAAATCAAGTCAAATTAACGTAAGAAATTTTACCGCGCATGAGATTGTCACAGCACCTTTAAAGTCAATGATTTTCAACTCTTATTTGAATGCAACTTTGAAATTTCACAAGGTTTATCTATAGACTATCAGCTGTGCTAATTAAAAAAATTATATTATTGATTATGAAATATTAATAATGTGTGGATATTTTCATGTAGGTGCTGGAGAGGCTAGTGCAGATGTTCCAGAGGGGGAAGAGAATAAAGTTAAGGATGATGATGCACTTGCCGAAGGTATCGTCAATAATTTTCTAACTACGATTCTAAAAATTCAACAATTAAAGTTTAATAATTAGGATAGCATGTATTTAGCTTTCATACCAACTAATAATACTTGTCGAAATTCTTAGGTTCCACAGAGATAACTGAGAACGATGGAGAAAATGAGGAAGCTAAGAAGAAAAAGAAGAAACGCAAGCCCCGAGGCAAGGGTGGTGTAAAGCAGCAAACGGATCCGCCAACTATTCCCGTGTCAGAATTATTCCCCGACGGTAATTTCCCGATAGGGCAGATAATGGATCATCCATCCGCTGCTGGAATAGACGACAGAATGGCGAAAAATCGCTTCACCAGTGAAGAGGCGCGCGCCCTCGACAGAATGCATAATGATATCTACAACGAAGCCAGACAGGCAGCCGAGGCGCATCGACAAACCCGCAAACACATTATGAAGTGGGTATGTAAGTCTGCGTTATTGCAAATAATTAAAATAATTAAAATATTCAGAGTTGGATTAAGTAATATAAAAAATTATGAAACAAATTTTTACAATTTGCGAGTATATATATACATCTGATGAATATATCTGCTCTTCTACACAGAGAAAAATATCATTATACTGCCAAGAAAAGCGATTACTCAGTTTATTTTTCTTTTTTTAAGTAATAGTTTTCTTCAACAAATAATATATTCTTGATAATAATCTTAAAATATACTCATCACAAGTATTAGAAAATCTCATTATCATGAACTCAAAAGAAGAATTTATGTTCTCTTCAAGAATATTTGTAAAGTTGTATCAAAGAAAAATCAAACTTACTTTACGTCAAATCTTGTAGTAAGCAAACCAAATTTTTGTTTTAATTTAATATTCTTGACTAAAATACTGCACTTAGTAAAATTCAGAATATATTCAATTAAATTTCATGCTTGTGGTAAACTTATGATATATTTGCGAATATAATAAACAAACTTATAATACACTTAAAATAAATAATATTTACTTGAATACAGTATACATTTTTCTCTGTGTAGGTGAAACCAGGAATGACTATGATAGAGATTTGTAACGAGCTGGAGGAGACCGCTCGAAAGTTGATAGGCGAGGATGGTCTCAAGGCTGGATTGGCATTCCCGACTGGTTGCTCCCGCAATCATTGCGCAGCTCATTATACTCCAAACGCCGGGGATCCAACCGTTTTAGAGTACGATGACGTCACAAAGATCGATTTCGGTACACACATCAACGGGCGTATCATCGACTGTGCGTTTACCTTGACATTTAATCCAAAGTATGACAAGTTGATCGAGGCTGTTCGTGACGCTACTAATACTGGTATCAAGGCTGCCGGAATTGACGTGCAATTGTGCGACGTCGGTGCTGTTATCCAAGAAGTAATGGAGTCTTACGAAGTGGAACTGGATGGTAGAACTTATCCGGTAAAAAATATACAATATATGCATAGAGTTTCAATTCCAATTAATTCAATTTAATTAATAATTTAATTAATAATTTAAATTTAATTAATAATTTAAATTTTTAATTAATAATTTAAATTTTTTATAGGTGAAATCGATTAGGAATCTGAATGGTCATTCTATCGCACCTTATCGCATACACGCCGGGAAAACAGTGCCGATAGTCCGAGGTGGTGAGGCAACTCGAATGGAGGAGAACGAATTTTACGCAATCGAAACCTTTGGATCTACCGGCAGAGGTCTCGTTCATGACGATATGGAATGTTCGCATTATATGAAAAGCTTCGATGCCGGTTTTGTGCCATTGAGGTTGCAGAGCAGCAAGTCTCTTCTCAATACTATCAACAAGCATTTCGGTGAGAATCTAAAAAAGAAAATATTCGGACCGTGTTGAAAAAATAAAATTGAAATTAATGGCATAATCTCTGTTTTTTATTTCATGAATTTTTCAGGTACTTTGGCTTTTTGTAAGCGTTGGTTGGATCGCGTCGGTTGCACCAAATATCAAATGGCGCTGAAGGATCTCTGTGAGAAAGGTGCCGTGGAAGCGTATCCGCCATTGGTCGACGTCAAGGGCTGTTATACCGCTCAGTTCGAGCACACTCTCGTTCTACGTCCCACGTGTAAAGAAGTAATTTCCCGCGGAGAGGATTATTAATAAATCAATAAATCAATAAATCATCGTTGTGTTTTATATCACTATCGAATGTGTCAAGATATATCTTAAGCTCGATGTAACATTTTCAAAACATTATCTCGTTCGATCTGTATGCGGTGATGCGAACGGTAGACGCGTGAATAAGAATTGTAATCATGTAATACGTTTCAGCGTACGACATTTCGAAATGTTAATATATATAATTTTACTTTTCCGATTGATAAAAAACAAAATTGCAAGCTTCGACAAATGATGAAAACGCAATCGACGCGCTTTCTATTTTTATTTCTTAAGCATCAAATGTGAATTTCTATTCCTTTAAACATCAAATGTTTCCATATCATGGAAAAACGTTGAAAAAAGTCGAGATATACTTCTACATTTTCTTTCCTTTTTTTTTTTTAATGTTTCGTAATGTTTTTTTTAATATACGGATATATGCTTCGAAAGGATCGGTAATTTATATTCGCTGTAACATTTTTTAAATCTTTATTACTGTTTCTTACATTTTTACGCTAAAATGAAAATGACGGGAATGGTGTGTTTAATATTGAATAAAATATATTTGGAATTCGAGATTTATATCATTGCGATAGTCCTGAATATCGTGTAATTAAGATTTTAATGTTAGAACGATATAAACATAGAATCTAGTACATACATGTGACAACTGTACAAAAGGAAAACGAAAGTATTCTCCATTTGTGGCTTCTCTATATCCATTTGTGAATCTCTATATGTCGATATATTTCCCTACGCATTTTAAAAGCGCGAATTATATGTTATATAAAGTTTTCGTGGATTTATCGGTTAAAATTAAAGATGTAACAAATTCATGTCTTATATTATTTTATAATCCTAAGAGGCTGCGCGTGTTTTCGCAAGATTCTTTAAACAATGAATCATGAGATGTAATAGCATTGACGTTGATTCGACATTTAAATACGGCTCGTAACAGTTACTCCGCATTTTGCTAACGTCATACATTTCTCTCATCATCATATAACGAAGTATAAGAACACATGGTCTCGCGGAGAGTCCTGATCTATCCTCTGTCTTCTGGCGCAATTTTTACTTTCAGTGGCATTACCTTTATATAACTGTGAAATGTAATTTTAAATCATATAACACATATGTAGTAAAGTATATATGTGAAGTAAAAAGTGGAGTAGCATCAAGTTTCAAATAAATCTATCGTAGTTGATTCACAACGTCAGAAGCTACCGTGATAAATCGAGAACTTTAATGATGACTCGTGCGATTAGTTTCGCATATTTTCGGAGCGGAACGCGTTCTATGTTTAACGGACTCAACTCGAGGTTCTTCGTGACGTGTCCAACAAGAATGCGAGTAATGCCACCGTCGGTGATCCGAATGAGCTTTGAATACAAAATATCTTCCGTCCCGAATCGCCTCGAAGATCGCGTGGAAGATACCATTGGGGCTTCCAAGGAAGAAAAAGCGACTATGGGTATCATCGTCTCGTATAGACGATACAATGTTCAGGATACACATGGTCGCGAGTGTCTTCGGACATTCGTAGATCTAGAACTCACGCACGTATTTCGATTAATCTTAAACGATACGGAATATTTCGCTTACGCATATATAACTAAACAATACATTTTTACGTTTTCTCTATTGCACAAATAAAAATTTCAGCGATCCTTGGAAAATATATCATCTTCATGATTGTTTTGAAATAAACTTTATGATATATGTTTTAAAGAAAAAACTGAACTTCGGGAAATTCAAAGAAACATTTCGTATCGTTCAAGATGAAAAAATCGAAACAAATGAATAAATTTTTATCTCACCATCTATCTATCGCTATTCTGTCTATTGTCAATCTGTGTCCTACTCTGGTAAACTGTGTTACTATCGGTGCTCTCGCGATGAAATCACCTTTGTTTCTCGTAAGAAAAAATACGCTGGATATTATATATTCGAATTTACACGTAAGTAATAATAATTACTGGAGATTACTTTATTAAATACAATAATTACCGATATATGATAATTATCGTATATAATAATATAATAACGCGTTTGTCGACGTCACCCTAATTGGTCATTGAACTAAGCTCGGCACACTGAGGTTTACTACTTATTATTGTTGATTGTACATCGAGACACCTGATACGTTCTTACGAACTCTTTATTTGCGCGCTCCTCGATTCAGGCGGTATACGAACGTCATCATAATTTAATCGATGTTTAAACTATAAAGAATAATCTTCATCCTAATCTTCAAGACACAACGTCGTTTGGTCCTTCGCGTTATTCTGGGAATGATTTTGCGGCGGATTGACACGTTTTCTACAAGACAGATCCACCGATTCTCTCCTCGCTCGTAATCAAAGCGTCATAATTCGAATAGTGTGTTATCTCTTAATGCTCGTTACAGCATCGTTACCTTCCGATGCGCCAAATGAGAGACCCTAATAATTCTCGTGCCAACGAAACTTATCAGATGTTACGCATATATACATGTTGATTGTGATCGATAAGGCGCCGAGGTATGAAATTACACGAGCCACCCGAGCGGATCGAGATCGATCGATCATCCTATTTAGTCGAGCGGGACCTTTGACCTTCGCTAGGCTCTCACTGGGACTCGGTGCGAGGCCTTAGCTTCGCCCTCGCTGTTACCAGGAGATTGCTCGGTGGTTCCATCGTCGCCTGCGATTGCTCTTGCTACAAACAGACAATTGCTCATTCATTGCCAGTCCTATTCAAGCTGATAAAAAAATTGATCGGAAGTACATCGTTATGTTATATTTGCATTCGACTTGACAATTTAAAGAGATACCAGGAATGAATTACAACATCAAACAATCGAAGATTTCAATATACATATATTAAATGTGAACAATATCGAATCAATTTTCGAAATTTGAGAAAATAATTAATTTAAGTTGTTTTGTATGTATAATCCCAGCAAAAATAGCTGAAAATCAATATTGACAAATATATCCACTTTTGATGTATTTTGAGTAAGAAATTGTGTGGAATATTACAACTTGATTTTAGCCACAGCTACAGAGATGTATTTTTTAATATTTATTGCGTTTTTACTGAAATATTCCGAATTTTGTTAATCGAAATTATTAACTTTTGGCAGAGAATTTCGCCTTGTGTCAGATACATGGCTAATTTTATTGAATTATATTTAATATCTTTTTAACCAGTTAGTACTTGTATAATATTATTTGACCAAATATTTCCTCTGTATCTAAACTTTTGCAAATTTTAAACAAATTCTGAATATTATTTCCATGTGTTTTTGTCATTTGAATCGACGTGGTTATACGTTTCCCATAAGAACACATGTTAATTCGGTGCAAATTAAAACCTGATAACTTGTGAACGCTTTAGTGCATCGATTTAAAAATTGTACTGAAGATTCTAAACATATGTAAAAACATTCTGTACAATTTTCATTAAATTCTCAATATTTTGAAAATAGGTACAAAACATCCTTAAATGTGAACAATTTCGAATCAATTTTCGAAATTTGAGAAAATAATTAATTTAAAGATTATTCTACATAATATACATATTCTTCTAAAGATTTAAAAATGTGACATTTTAAAAGAAACGAGAGATTATCTATAATTTTATATATATCAAATTACCGTTAATTGAATGTGTCTTGCTCTTTGCTCGATCGCTCTTTGCAAAGCAGTTCTGGGATCATCTCTATAGCTTTCTTCTCGAATTCTTTCAGCTTCCCTTCTTGATGCAGCTTCCCTATGTTTCTCCAGAGCACGTTGCAATTCGCTTTTCTGATTCAAGACATTTTTGCCACTATGGAGAGAAAAAAGCGCATATTTACTTGATAATTAATTTTTATTCGAGCAATTTTTTCCAATTAAAATTTTTATTGAAGTAATAAGTTAATAAAAGTATTTTTAGCAAATAAAAGATAAAACATTTCTGAAGGTATCGAAAAAATACAAAATAAGAAAGAATTACACGAACGAGAAGAAAAATATAAGTCAATTGAAATATATACTATGGGATTACATTGTTATTCGCACGTGGAATGTGCGTGGATTGAATATTGCGTGCTAAGATAAAAATCAGCAAGCGTGAACCGCTTAATTTCATCGAAGCGTGAAGAATCACACAGGTGCGTCGAATACGCATATTAATTATAGATAGTACGTACGCGAAATATATAATTATATTAATTAAATATTTCGCAAAGCTAAGTGATAAAATAAATATACTCGATATTACTTGTTTGACCGCGTAACTGAAGGAAAATCGGCACGAGAAATATTTTTCCGAAGCAACATCCTTCTCTCTCATCCGGCTCTTATATATATTATATAATCCCTACGATTTCTGAACACGCTCGAATTCACGTATGATGAAAATGGATTTGTTATGGCCCACGAGATCAGCTTTCATCAGGAACTTTTCCACGCTGGTAATTGGCTTTCCATTTTTATCACGGATATTATATTTCTCGCGATATTAATTAATCCTCGTATACTTATAAAGGCATGGAGAGGCAGGCAAGAAAACATTTACTTTCGGGATTACCTTTCGTTCAGAGTTTCTTTTTTGCCGGCATTAAAAGAATTTTTTTTCCCATATTTAAAAAACACTCATTAGAAAATTAATGAGATATTCGAAGAAACTTTAAACTGATAATTGATTTTATTAAAAGAAAATTTAATATAACTTTAAACTGATAATTGATTTTATTAAAAAAGAAAATTTAATATAACAATTCGAAAGTAGAAAATTTATAAAATTTCGCGATTAATTAAGACCCTGGCATAAAAGGAATGAAATGCTAAATAAGAATACGATATTTATCACGATGAAAAACTTTCTGTTATAAAAAGGTACTCGCATTTGAAGAAATTTTTTCCAATGAATTAATTCTTCTAAAGAAAAGAGACAAGAAAAATTTTGAAGTCATTCAACTCACATTTTCTGATTGAAGAGTAACTCTCTGTGCAGATCCTTATGATTAGTGGAGATAAGGCAAGGATTATATGGTTTCCTCGGCAAAATTAAGCCGTCTGGTCCCATGTGAGGAGCCGGTGGCGGAGGCGGTACGCCCAGAACCGGTGCCATTTTTTTCTCTGAAAAAAAAATTAAAAATTTGATAAATAATCCATTCAAAATTAAAAATCGAATATCGTATACGATAATTACATATATTACTAATTGCTAATAAATCTCTAACCCTCGCCTAAGGAATGAAAATGTTCACTTCAATTATAATTTGAATCACTTTGTTAAGAATTTAAAGAAATAAATAAATCTTCAAGTTCGTAAAATGTACAATTATATTAAAATTAAAATAATTTTAATATAATTGTATTAAAAGATAATTGAATTAAAATAATTTTAATATAATTAAAATTATTTTAATTTTAATATAATTGTACATTTTACGACTTGAAGATTTATTTATTTCTTTAAATTCTTATATAATGAAAATTATTTTTAAATTCTTAGAAAGAATTAGAGGCTGCATCGAATGAACCTTTTAACGAAAATGTATTATAATGGAAATAATGAACAACAAGTAATCTCAATCACTATAAATGGTGCTTAATAATTATTCACCCTCCAGCAACGCCACTTTCGCCCTGACCGAGCTCTGCTCGCACATCGTAGTTGCACGTATCGCGACTGAAACATTCCTCCTCGAGTGCACGAGAGACATATCAAAAAGAAAAAGAGAGAGAGAGAAGTTCTATATATTTTTGCGTAGGGTTTCGCGCATATAACTGCGCTAATAGGATCTCGGGGAAACACGCGCGAATGAACGGTAGCCTCTCGCAGAACTCAAGGTGAAATAAACGATGCCGTTTCCGTTACAATCGAACGAGGTCGAGCGTTTTAACCCTCTTTTGTTAGACTTACATTCAAACTATCTTTAATATCCGTTTGAAATGCAATGAGCGAGGCAAGCGTATGTAATCCTGGCTCAACAGAAGCGATTCTAAAAATATATCACGGTATTGACGATTAAACAATTAGCGATATCGATAAATGCCAATCAACGTTCATAATATACAGGTGATTCATTTTAATCTTAATAGGCAAATATTTTGAAAAATATGCGAGATACGAAAAAATATTTCAGACAAAAGTTATATGGTTTTAAGGGGGTCATAAGATGGTGTCATTAATTTGACCTTAAATAGTTACTTGCAGGGCACGTGAAAATTACCTTCAATTTTTTAAATGGAACCGCCTACTTTTTATTACATGTTCTTGTAGCTTATCTCGAGAGCTTTCCAAAACATTATAATTAACTTAGTTTTCATTAAGTACTTTCCGAGTTATGAGACTTGAAATCCTTTCTTAATTTTACATAAACTGTAAAATGTCTTGTAAACTATTCATTTTTCGATTAACTTATCTTAATAGTTTTATGTACAAAATAATGAGAGGAATTAATTGGTGTAAAGAAAACACATAGTTGTTTCGAAAAAAATATGTAATTTGCAATTAACAATTACATATTTTTTCTTAAAAATAACTATGTGTTTTCTTTACACCAATTGATTCTTCTCATTATTTTGTATATAAAAGTATTAAGGTGAGGTAATCAAAAAATGAATATTTTACAAGATATTTTACAGTTTATGTAAAATTAAGAAACGATTTCAAGCCTCATAATTCGAAAAGTACTTAATGAAAATTAACTTAATTATAGTATTTTGAAAAGCTCTCGAGATAAGCTACAAGAATAAATAGTAAAAAAATAGGCGGCTCCATTTAAAAAATTGAGGGTGACGTTTACGTGACTTTCACGGAATTATTTAAGGTCAATGACATCATCTTATGTCTCCTTTAAAACCATATAACTTTTGTCTGAAATATTTTTTCATATCTCGCATATTTTTCAAAATATTTGCCTATGAAGATTAAAATGAATCGCTCCTGTATATAAGAAATAATTATAAGAGATAATTCCTGTATATAAGTAGAAAGAGTCGCGATAAAAGGGAAGTGATTGTAAAAATATTTATTTTTTTAAATATTCTACTTCCGTTCCCTTTACGCGAGAAAACGCAACACATGTTTTCAGATAAAAATCATTTTGAAATCGCCTTTAAAACTTTACGCCAAGACGCACAAGAACTCGGGAGGACGTATTGTCGTTCCGCGTCACGATTTTCTCTATCAACATTTATTGTTAAATTCGCTTCTTGTTCTGACAACAGTCCAGATCCTATGGACAACTGGACACATTGAATACATTTATGTATTTATTTTTATTGTATAGTTTATTCAAGATACTATAGTCGTTTTAATAGATCAATATGTCGTTTCTACGTGAGTTTACCTAGATAACGTTATAAAATAATAAGTTAAATTGAAAAGTAAAAATGAGGTATGTCGGTCGACGATTATCAATCTTATTTTTAAATGAATCTCAATTGATAGAAATTCGTAGATAACATTTAATTATAATTAAATTATACAAAATTATGATATTTTAAATAATATTAATAATTGCGTAGGGAAATAAAAATAAAATAGTAAAATAGTATATAATTAAAATAGTAAAATAATTAAAATAGTAAAATAGTATATAATTAGACATAATAATTAATCAAAAAAAGAAGAAATAATTCAGAGAAAATCGTGATTTGGCTAAAAATTTCTTGCAAAAATGCAGACGTAAAATATTTCACATTATTCGTAATGTATTCCTATTACAGGAAGTCGAGTAAATTTATTTCGAGCCACCCAATGAAGCGTTCGATCGAGGCGAGAAACCAGGTCGCGAAAGTAAGTCGATGTTTCGTTCGCGTGCATCGTACGGGCTGCATACGCGATTTTATGGAAATCAGATGATAGGAGCCATTTGAAAAAGGAAGCGCAAAGGAAGTCAGTATTGAATTGAGTGAACTTTAAATCCTTTAACATTCTCAGAAAATCATTACATTCAGAAAATAAGTTTATCTTCAATTTCACTATTACAATAAATTCGCGAAATTTTAACAGTATTAAAAAAAAATACCTCGTTTTGAAAAAACATCAGTTACAAACACATTATTTTCGTTTATTTAAAAAACCTGAAGTGATTTAACGAATTGGACAATATCCCTTAACCGGTCGTTCACCGATGCATCGACTATGCTATTTATTTATTCGCAGAGTCATTGACTTGCCGTCGCAGGTCATTGATCCGAATTTTTGAAAGCGCGAGATAACGCGAGCAGCGCATGTATATGTGCGATGCATCAATACTGTAGATAAGCGTACAGCATCGAGATAAGCTAAATATTTGATAATTAATACGAATGTAAATGTAGTTATTAACGATGATAGAAATACAGGTATATTTTATTATTTTATTTAGTCCCTTTTTTGAAAGTGTCAAAGATATATTCAAGCGATAGGGTTACTAAATTTTATGAATCCAAGTTTTATACAAGATATTATGAATAATAATTATGGCGTTTATCCAACAATAATATTTATATAATAAATAGTATACATATAATAACGAATTTTATTTAAAATTATCCTTTTGCAAGATTCCTTTTCAGGACATCTTAATAATAATTTGCTTTAAAAATGTTTTAATAATTTAATTTTTTAAATTATTAAATTTAAAAAAGAAATACTATTATAGTTATTCGTCGTTAATTTTTATTTAACTAAAAAAAACATTAACTACTATATATCATGTATTGAATCTATGTACGAATCAATAATATAAATTAGTCTTTTTATGTTTCGATGTTTTGATTTTATTGAATTGTAACGTATTTCGTCGAATACTGAATTAAATGCGTAGAAGCATGATGCAGAAAGATGACGCCGTACGATGACAATTGGACGTCTGTTATGCGATTATTTGCTTATGTCACATGTCATCAACTTCGCGAATGTCACTGATCCCGATCCGATTTAAAGATAAAAAATTGCACACACAAAACTATTTAACACATTTTCATAAAATTAAGAGTGTCAAAAAATTCTACGTCAATTTATAATAGTGATTGATATTACATCAAAGCATTTGTGAAGACTCGCAATTATTGCAAAAAATTTCCGCTTTCACTTTTGTTCTGTGGTACATATATAATCCAATAATAATAATCAGATGTAATTATGCTTATATCTTATATAATTGTTTAATATATATTTTATAATAATGTATTAATAGAAATTAAAATTTAATTTATTATTTATTTCAATATAATTATAAATAATTAAATTTAATATTTATTATCTCGTCTTTTATCAAATGTAAATTTTAATAAATGCTAAAGAAATCTCGCTAGGGACTTGAAAATACACGATCGACGTCATGACGTTTGCTATACGTGCAAATCTTATAAAACGTTCTTTTGTCGCCATTCATATGCAAAGTTGAAAGGAAACCGACACTGATAATGCAAAGACGAGCAAAGTGCATGCAGGTAACAGGATAACAGAATTATAAAAGAGTGCGCATATCATGTTTGCCATCTTGTTGCATCTCGACAGAGAGACGATTGAATTTCGATCAGCTCAATAACCCGTAGTATACACGGTGACATAGTTTATCTGCTATTACTACAAATGCGATTACGTTTTAATTTGACGTTCCGTAATTCACGCTACAATTGCGAATCGATAAGATACCATAATTTATCTAACAATAAGATCTGTCAATTTGCGCAATCTTTTCAAGCAATCGCATAACTGGCATTCTTCCAGAATTAACTTAGGTAAGTTTTATAGAAGAATCTCAAAATATGACATATTTATAAAAATCCGCGAAAAGAAATTTTGATAAATTTTACAGGAAAATCCAAAAGTTTATATATTATTACATAAAATTACAATATATTACATAAGATTACAATATGATTATTAAATTTTTTATTCATTTTTATTGAATTTATCGAGAGTTAAAAACTGAAAAACGAATTTATCGTCAAAGATTGAGAAGAAAAAATATATGAGAAAGTAATCGAAATATAACTTTACACAAATAAATTATTTCAACAGACAAAGTTTCATTCAAATAATCGAGATTCCAAAACCCAAAAGTTTCATTCAAATAATCGAAATTGTGAAAATCCAAAAGTTTATGTATTATTAATTACATAAAATTACAATA